AAAAACACAAAAACTCATAAAACTAATTATTTAAAACCTAACTAGGGGTGCCAATGGCAATGGTTAGGGGTGCCATTAGCCTCCCCCTTTTATATTCCAATGAGAGTGATTGAGATTTGAATGAATCTTGAAATAATGGAATGATTGTATTTAATGCTCAAAAGTTGTGTTTTAAATTGCATGTCAGGATATATAAGCCATTTAAAGTATTGTACTGTTATGTGTCAGAAACAAATTCCACGTGGACGGCTAAGAATTAACCATATGGACGGTTTAGATTTGTTTAAACATCAGTTTTAATTAATGCAGTAACTTTGCATTAAATGTATTTTTTTTATCAAACTACTCTCTTTGTTTTTTGCATAGTTGTAATTTTTGACCAGTTAAAATTGTAATTATTAACCAGTTAAATTCAATTTTAAATATACGAAAGATTATGATTACCTTTTTATTTCTCAAATATTTAATGTTATTAAAAATAACTTTTGACTATATATATATAAGAGACATGATTAAACGAGAATGATACATATTTAAAAAAATAAGAAAATACTTGTAGGCCAATCATTTTATTAAATAATAACTTAAATGATTAATTTTATAAATAAATAAATAAGGATATAAAGTAATTTTATAATATAAAATTATTATTTAAAATTCTACTCTTATCATATTTGTGATTTTAATATAATTTAATTTTTTATTTAAAAAATATTTTTTATTTAATGATTTAAAATAAGTGTACTTAGTTTTCAATTAAATAATATTTTCTTTGTTTAATAGGTTGTTTGTTTATTTTTTAATAGTTTTATTAAAAGACAACCTCTGAATCGTTAAGAAGTGATTCTTGTTTGCAAAAAAAAATATGACTTTTAATATTTCTAAAACTCTCTGAATGATTTCGTATCCTAGATTTTTTTATTAAATAAGAGTTTAAACGCTTTAAATGTCTAAGAAATTTTAAGTGGTAAACGTATCACTTTATGCCTCTTAATCCTAATCCGCCCTCTATCAAAATGGTTCATATTTTGGGGTCTGGAAAAAATTTGTTAGGAAAAACTATTTATCTTTTATACTTTTGTAAAAAAAATATTTATCTTTTATGCTTTTGCACTAATTTGACCGATTCAGATTTTTCAGACTTCAGATGTAAAAACAAACAATCTTACTGATCCAGATTTCAGACTTCAGCACCACCTCTTATAAATCAGAAGTGAAACCAAACTTAAACCTTAACACTTTTTAAAAAATAAATGTCACCTTATTTTGTTTTCAGTTCGATAACTTTTCCTCTTTTCTTTGCAGAACTCGATGTCAATATCATAATTTTTTCTTAAAAAATATTATATTAATTTTTTAAGGATGTAATATTTCTAAATAAATTTGTAGATTTATTTTATCATATTAAGAATTTTTTTTATTATTCGAATGGAATTTGTGGAATATTTTTTAAATAAATACAAAGAATAAAAAGAAATGGAATTTGAGTGATTTTGACCATACTAACCTGGGTCATGTTTATGATTGCAATACGCACCATTTTTAAAGTGGTGACGCACTCAAATACATGACAAGGACGTCGTTCTCGAACCATTGTTTTGTATTTAGTCTGAAAAAGTATTTTCCAGACTTACTTTAAGAAATAGAAGTCTGAAGTAGCATCATACTTTCGATGATCATTCATATTCGTAAGATAAGTTTCTGACATTATTTAATTTTTTCAAAATTACCCGGTGTAATACACGGGATCGAACATATACTTGGATAATATCCATGATTAACACATTTCACAATAAAAATGATTAATCAATCTCTCATAATTACAAAAAAATGAAAAATTATGATTGGTTGAATGATGTTTGTACGGTTTGTATAAATAATATGGTTTGCAAAGTAAACTTCCTCCCCCTCTCTCTCCCTCTATATGTGTGTGTGCAGGTTCTTTTGTTAACCCAATAATTTGTGTTAACTTTGTAAACCAATATTGGTCCTTGAATCTTAAAATATATGGATGAGATCAATTGTGACATATTTGTAGTTAATTAAATAAAAAAGATACCAAAACATAGGTGAACAGAGGTATTTTTGGGAGAGATGTTCAAATAGGTTACAAATTGATAGTTAATTAATTACATCGGTTACAAATTTGTAATTGTTCATTCCTTTTATAGTTCATAAAATCATCCGTGTTGCATTATAAACCCTATGAATACGTATGAACATATACGTAACTTGGTAACTAATCTTAGTTCGTGACTTTTCACATATGAACATACGGGAACACTTATGAACACTTATTTGCGTCTATAAAAACTTATGAACACTAAAATAATTTATTTTCACATATGAATACAATAATCTATGATCAAAGTGTTTCGTTTGTGAACACATATTGACCAAATGTTATATGTATATAAATATTATTATATGAATTCATTTGCTTCTTTTAATTCTTGCCCAAACTGGGGATGAAAAATTGTCAGTCTGGTCTTTAGGATGATGGATCTATAATAATTGACAAAAAAAAAAACCTGACTTGAGTGGTCCTGTATTAAATTAAATGTTAAATCAGTAAAGATACATGTCATGAATATTACAAAAATACATACTTTATAATACTGCAAATGAAAGTATTAGCTTTGAACTTTAAATGCATGACATTTAATGCAAATTTCCCTTTAAATTAGGTCTTTTCCAGTATTTCTGCATGATGTTTTTTTGTATAGATGTTACAAATTGGTCTTTTAACCCTTGTCAGGTGATGAGATCAGTAATTAACATGAGTATTATCCGGGTGGATCCAAGCTTTAACACCGGGTGAAAAGGACTCCAATCATAAACCAAAAATCTTTGTTGAGTAGCTTAAATTTTTATTTTCACCCTTATCTTACAGGATTCCCCATCCCCTATTAATTTTCTGAATCCGCCACTGTAATTATAATCAATAAAAATTAAAAGAAAGTTATATTGGAGCTTTTTTTTGGTGTTTTAATTTTTAATCGAAAATGTATAGTATTGTTGGGTTTTGGTTTGTACCATATAAACCAGATCCTGAACTTTTATTTATCTTATATCACCTTACTCCTATATTCATATTATAAAGCATTTGAAAAAAAAATTAAAAACAATTTTTTTATGTATGAAATATTGTTTATTAATGTATATTACTTAAAATTTAAGATTACGAGTAAATTGTTCATAAATACAACTTACTAAAGCTTCAAGTTTGAATTTGTGTAACTAACTGCAACTAAACATAATCAAATTAAGAATAAACATTTTATTTTAAATATAAAAAATCTAAAATATAATTAGGATAATCATTAAGTTCTAATAAAATACTTGATCTTTATAAAAAATTATATTATTAAAACAAAAAAATGAATTAAAGAAATATACAAAAATGAGAAATTTTAAATAGTTCCCTTGATATTGATATCAACACTGGACTAATATTTCATAAATTTAACCACAAGAGTGGTACTTGATTGATTTTAACTTAGGTTTTAAAGATCAAAAGTCCTTGGAGGTCTCAGGTTCAAATCCAATGAGAAATAAAAATTTCTTTATGGGCACGGAGGTTGAAATGTGATGTCTTCGGACTACCCACAAAACAGATGATCACCCGGGATTAGTCGACTTAGATATCCAAGTTTATATATATAAAATGGTGGGTCAAATATGTATTATAACAATTTAAATGAATATAATAGGTTTTCCCCCTGTAATTCACACCTGCATGCAAGTTGCAATTTTATTATAGTGACCAACTACCAGTCTACCAAGTCATTACCGTTGACTCTGGTCAATGTAGCCACCGGTGAAATGGGTATAACCCATATTTTTTTTAAAATTACATTTTTAACTCTTAAATTTAAAAGTTTATAAGATTAACCATTAGTTATCCATTTAAAAGTTTATAAGATTAACCATCAGTTACCCATTTAAAAGTTTATAAGACCAATCATCGTCTTTCATTTATTAAAAAACATCTCTTAATTGTCAAATCGTTGTCCTAACTAATGGAAAAAATAACAGTCAAAGGATAAGGTAGGATCACCCGTCGGTTAGGTGGGGGCGATCCCATTATTTTATAAAAATCAGATTTTTTATCCTTCAAATCAGATACATGTGGGGTCCTCTTGTATACTTTTTTGGTCAAATCGCCCTCGTATGGTCAACATGCCATAGGGCGATCCATGTGGTCATTTTGTATAAAAAGTGTGAAAAATGACTATTTTGTTAATACATCAAGTATAAATAAACTATTTTGATGATTTTCCCATACACACACACACACACACATATATATATATATATATATACACATACTATATACATATATTAAATAAAATAAAATAAATCATTCAAGGTCGAATTAGGATGGATAATGTCATCCCCAACCAGACCAACCCCACTTCGAGTATGAAAATAGATCCGCATTCCCGCTCAGTCACTCGTCAAACCCGGAAATCCCCATCTTGTTAAGATCGGACACCTGCTCAACGAATATAATTTTCATCTCTTAGGGGTTGTTTAACAATTGCTGAATGGTTTGGTGCAGAATGATTACAAGACTCTCATTATATAGTGTAAAATAAAATATAATTGTTTGGTAATTGTGTACAATGAAATTAGGGTTCTTGATAGTTACGAGAGATCAATGATACAAAATCATTCAAAGAGTTTTAGAACCATTAAGAAACATATATTTTTTTATCAAACAAGATTTATCTTTTAACGATTCAAAGGTTGTCTCATAATGGAATTATTAAAAGATAAACAAACAACCCCTAAACCTACTCTTTATATGTTAATAATAAATATTAAATAATTCTCAAACATATTTAAACCCGAATTGAATTATTATGACGATAAAACTCAGTAGTTGATACTTGATAGTAATAGGTCAACCACGCGGAGGTAGTGGTTATTCACACCCCAGTCAACTCTCATTGGTTGATGCTGTCTATAAATACCTATACATACACCTTCTCTATATGTCTATACATCTTCAATCTTCTTTCTTTTTGCATGAGCTCCGAGCTCATACAACATAACAATGGCGATCACCATGAACTTTGCTCTCTTCTTCTTCTTCTTCTTCTTAACTCTCTCTGCTCTTCTACCACCTCATCATGCTCGACATTTAAATGGTATGATTCATCTTTTCTTTTTCTTCATAATTTCATTACTCTTTCTCTCTCTATAGCTTTTGTTGATCGGTGATTTTGATGGCAGATGGATACATATATGTAAAATTTGGTCGACGACCACCGCGTCAGGCGGCGCCGGAGGTAATTCAGATGGTAGTCGGAGGAGAAGAACTACTGTCACCACCGTCTTACGGCCGAGATAAACCAAAAGCACCGCCGTCACCAAGAGTAGCACCATCTGGTGGCCAGACAACTTACAGCGCAGATAACCCAAAATTAGCACCGCCGTCGCCGGAATCGGCAGAGTCTGATCAAGGCCAGACTGGTTATGGCCGAAATAACCCAAAATCTCCGCCGTCACCGAAAGTAGCACCGTCTCGTGGCCAGACAACTTACGGCGGAGTTAACCCGAAATTAGCACCGTCTCGTGGTCAGACAACCTACGGCGGAGATAACCCAAAAATTGCACCGCCGTCACAGGAAATAGTACCGTCGTTTGGGCAGGCGAATTACGGCGGAGATAACGGGAATTCAAACAGTCAGACGACATACGGACTAGAGGATCCGAGAACGCCACCGACTCCGGACCCAAATGATCCACAAATACAGTTTGTGGGTCGAGTTGACCCGAAGGTTCCTGCCCCACCACAACCCGCTGAGCCAACTCGTCCGATGGTAAAGAATATATTTCCGTCGACGGTGGCCGGAGAAATCGAAGTCCGCCGCGAGTTCCGGCTATTATTTCCGATGTGAATGAAATCAGATTTAGATCAGTGGCATTCAATTGCCTCTTCCTGATGTATTTTATATGCTGACGTGGAATATAATGTTTTAATGGTTAAAACTTTGTAATCCTTAAACTTAGAGGTCCGGTTGGAAACTACGTTTACGGACGTTTGTTTTTTAAGAGGTGTTGAAGTATGAAATCTTATTTCATTTTTGATTAAGAGATGATGCTGAAGTATGAAATTTGAATCAATAAGACTACTTATTTTTGTAAATCGACAAACGTCTGAGTTTGTTTCAATTGTCTATTTTACCTATTAAAAAAAAAGTATAAATGTTGAATTTATAGATAAATTTATACAAGTTCATATATCTATTCATCATCATTATGAAATTTACATCTACATTATACAATTAGCAATCATTTAAACGAAAAAAAATGTCATTCACTGTATTTAACACATTTAAATCCTATTAAAATACATCAATTGAGAGAGATGAAGATTGATTTTGTAAGGGTTGATTGAGAGAAATGATTGATTATGGTTAATCGATTGCAAAACACCGTTGTTGAGGGTTTTAAATACAATGAAGGACAAATAAGAGGTTGGTTTACATCTGATCACATAAGAGGACAACAAGATACAAGTGACTCTAAATTTTTTTCCATCCCAAATCCCAGTACACTTTTTAAAAAGAATTTATATAAATTAATAATTCTCCCATGCATCTTGTTTCAGATAGTTATATAAACTTGGAGTTCTCTATTTTAAAGAATAACTAGAAGTGTACTCGTGTAATGCATTGATATACATCTCTTTCAATGTTTTTATTTTGGATTATAGCTGATCATTTGCGGGCTTGGGCCGGATCCATGCTGGGCTTAACCTGTTTTTTCCAACGGGTCTAATATGGTAAAACCAAGCCCGTTTTTCGAGCTTGAAAACTTACCATACCCGCTATAAACGGGCCGGGTTGCCCATAGGCTAACCGGCTTAAAAAACTTGTTATATTTTTATGAAAACAAAAGTTATATAAAATCACAAGTTATATAAAATAATTCAAAATACATAACATTTTTTCCAATTTAAAATTTGATGTAAATACATAACAATATAATATGAAGTATTGATGAAGAAAATTACTAAATTTAAGATTTTTAAAGAATATTACTATCATGAGTCATAATTAAGTAGAAATTGATACATATGGTGTTTGGGATTGCTTATAAAAACAACTTATTAACTTATTTCGGTATGAAACCGGTAATAAACACTTTTGAGTGTTGGGATAAACAACTTATACCGGTGCCAAACCTGTAATAAGAAGTTTTTAAAAAAGTTAAAATCATTATAACTTATATTAAATGATAAAAACTTTTGTAGAAAATCGTAAGTTGTTTCAAATAAGCAATCCTAGACATCCCTAAGAATTTTCAATTTTATTTGTAAATTTTAAATTATAAAAGTTAATTATTATAAAAATATTATAGGCCTGACGCGCCTGTTCAAATATATTTTTTCCATTGCCCATGTTCACCTATTAAATTTTAATAAGTCAGTCTAGGTCCATTCATTTTTTCGAGAATGGTAATCCAAGCCCACTTTTCTAGCGGGTCACATAACAGGTCTAGCGGGTCAGGCAGAACGGGTCTAGCGGGTCATCCTGCCCGTGAACAACGTTACAATAAATGTGTTTTCATATAGTAATAATATTTTTCATGGGACCTGTGAAAATAATCTTATGTTGTGAAAAGGCAATGTGAACGAAAATACATAATTTTAGGTCATGTGAATATTACAGCCTTCATCAAATATAACGGTTTCACATTCCTATAAAATGATTTTTATCTTCCCCTCTGTCTCTCTCACGCACACATACAATAGAATACTAGAAGGGTACTTGCGCAATGCAGCGAGATACATCTTCATTTTAATGTTTGGTTTTATTTTTTGTTTGTGTTGATATAATACAGTTTATGTGGTTTTGAGAAAGATAATGTTTTTATTTTTGAATAAAAATAAATTTGAGAATATCATAAAATTTTGAAAAAGTACGTCAATACTAATGTCAAATTTAATATTTAAAAGCTATCTTTTTTGTATAATTTATTTAATTCAAATTTTTTATTAATTTAATTTAGGTTTAATAGCAAAGTAATTTATTTTTGAATTAACAATATAATTTTTATAAAGATAATGATTATGTTATAGCTCAATGATAATCATAATTATATTTTAGATTTCTTATATTTAAAATAAGATGTTTCTCCTATATTGTTTATTTGCAGTTAGTTATACGAATTTAAAAATAAAACTTTAATAAGTTGTACTAATGCACAATTTAGTTATAATCTTAAATTTTAAGTAACATATATTAATAAATAGTACTTGTAATTTTAAGTAGATTTAAATAATTCAAAATTATATGTCACACAAGATACATACAGACATAAGAAAGTCATGTGATTAAGCATGCATTTTGAGAGCATCTCCAACAACTACTCTATTTTAATAATTCAAATATTAATTATATTATTAAAACATTCAGTATATTTAATAAAATATAAATTCTCTTCTATTTTTGAGATTTCTCTAAATTTGGAGATTTTTACATCTCTATTTTTCTCCTTCTATTTTAGCATACAAGATAACATAACTGTTAGAGCAAATTTTTGCTAAAATCCTTTTTCTAAGTCTAAAAAAAGGACTTTAGGATTCATACTTCTAAGTCTGAAAAAGAAAACTTCATAGTTCAGACTTTACAGTTCGGGTGAGTTAAGTCTGAAAAAAGCAGACTTCAAGAGTTCGAGTGAACTAACTCTTTATAATGACTTTTCAGACTTGTACTCTTGAAATAATTCTGAAGTATAACAATGAATAATGATTTCAGACATGTGCTATTGAAATAACTCTGAAAAATGACTTCAAACTTGTACTATTGAAATAACTCTGAAGAATGACTTTTGACTTGTACTATTGAAATAACTCTGAACTATAACTCTGAAGAATAACTCTTCATACTTGAATTTAGAAATGAAACTATATCAATAATTAGTTAAAATAAAGTTAACCCTATAATATAATTGAATTTAGAAATGAAACTATATCAATAAATTGAATTTAAACTTAGAAGTAAACACTGTTTTTTTTTTCGGGAATTAGTTACCACACAAATTAATTAACCCAAAAATAAAATCAATTGCATCCTAAATTAATGAGATTGATTGAATAAGATGACACATATCAATCAAATGAGTCTAATTGAATTGTTAATGTAAATTGTGTCTAAATACATTCAAATGAGTCTAACTGAACTGCAAATGTAAATTGTGTCTTGATACATATTTAGGCAGGAAAACACTAAAAGCGACTCACCATAAGATGACATGTGTCAGCCCAGTTACTTATTTATTATAAGTATAGATATACATACATATTTGTGATCATGTGAGACAAGATTATTTTCATAAGACAAGTGAGACAATATTTTTACATTTGAAATTTCACAACAAAACACTATAAAGGTAACATTCACAGTGTTTTTACTGTAAATGTTCGGTTTTTTCCTACCTTCACAACATTTTGTTGTGAAGTTTCAAGTGTAAAAATGTTGTCTCACGAAAACAAAATGGTCTTAGACGAGCCCAACCATATATATATATAACACACAATTAATTAAGTGTGTTTTATTTTTCAAACATTATTTAAATATATATAAATAACTAATAAACCAAATATTAAAATAATTCAATCCTAATTTTACGAACTTATATTTGAATTTTTGTATATGACTTGGGATCATGTGAGACCAAGGGTTTTTCGTGAGACCTGTAAAACTAATTATCAACCATTGGATTAGATCTCCATTAACTATTATATATATAGGGGGCTAATCAAATGAGAACTGATTTGTTTGTGGTAACTGTGTGGTCCAATCTCAACAACAAATCAACGGATAAATTAGGAAATTAATAATTATGGTAGTTTGAGTTAAAATTATAATTATAGGGCATATTAGGTATTTTTAAAAAACTCCTCTCTCATCTCTCCGACCTCCAATCTCCGGGCTCCAGTGAAATCGGTATCACAGTATAACACAATGAGTATCACATTGTGTATCTTTATTTTTAATGTTTGAGTTGGTATCACAATGATATCACAGTATATCACAATGAGTATTACATTGTGTATCTTTGTGATTACTTGGTACCTGCCGGATTAATGTTCATCGGAGGTCGGAGAGAGAAGTTTTCTAAAAATACCTAAAATGCCCTCTAATTATAATTTTAACTCAAACTACCATAATTACTAATTTCCTAATTTATCCATTTATTTGTGGTTGAAATTATATTCATAGTTACCACAAATTAATCAGTTTTCTCTTGAATGAATCCCTATATATATATATAGAGAGAGAGAGATTTTTAACTTATTTTTTTTTTCTTAATTCATTAGTTAAACCAAGAATATTATAGATTTTTTATTATTTACTTCATAAAAATGATGAAACAAATTCTAATTTTGCAAGTAAAATTATTTTATTTTTTCTAAAAAGCCAATAAAAAAACTCTTATCTCTGATAAATTATTTAAAATAAAGATTTTAAGGACTTTTGGTCCAACATGTTTTTTTAAACTTTATCTAAAATGGAGAAAGTAAGAGACAGATGATGAAAATTTCCAAATTTCTGACAAAGAAATCAATTTTTTTCACCTACCAATGAGAATAATTGAAATTAAATATATAATAAATAAAGAAATAATATTTTATGAAATGTATTGAACATCTTAATAATATAATTCATATTGTAAGAGCATTTTCAAGAGATTCTATAAAACAGAGAAAATTGTAATCTTGTTATTGCTCCAACAGATTTTGTATATTAGTCTATAAAATAAAGAAAATCAGTGAAATATCTGAGTTGAGAGAGACTATTTTTTCATTCATTCCCACCAATGAGGCTGGATTATTATTATTTTATATAATTTTTTTTACAAAATGTACTGAAATGATAAATTTATAGAATATTTTAATAATATAATGGATGTTGAAATCTCAAAAATAGAGAATCAATTGGAGTTTAAATGTAATACTTTTTTTAGAGATTTTGACCTTTGAATTCCTATTTTAAAGAAATTATAGAAAATCTGTTGAAGATGCTATAATTTTCCATTTTAGATAATCTGTTAGAGCATCTCCAACAGTTTTTTTTTCCATTTTAGATAATCTGTTAGAGCATCTCCAACAACTTTTCTAAAATAGAGAAAATCAATTTTTTGTTCTATATAATGCTCCAACAGCTTCTTTATAATGTTTTATCTAAAATGGAGAAAACATGAAAATACTCCAAGTTTAGAGAATTCTTTAAAACTTGATGTTTTTAGAGAGTGAGAGAACATGATTATTTTATTCAATCCCATCAATAAAATTAAATTATTATTATTTTATATAAATTTCTTCTTATTATAATAATAAATATATATAATGTATTGAGATGATAAATTATATAATATTATAATAATATAATTTATGTTAAAAATCTTTAAAAGAGAGAATCTGATGGAGTTGACTGTAATTCTTTTAAAAGATTTTAACTTTTGATTTTTTATTATATAAAAATTATAGAAAAGTTGTTGGAGATGTTTTTAAAGATGTTTTGAATAACCACAAGAGTGATGCTTGATTGGTTTGAGCTTTACTCCAAAGGTCAAAAGTACCAGGAGGTCCCAGATTCAAATCCAAGAATGAATAAAAATTCATTTGTGGCCACGATGGTTTAAATGCGATGACTCCGGGCTATTTACAAAGTTGGTGGTTACCATAAAATTAGTCGGTTCATATAGCGGGTTGGATATCCAGGTTAATAAAAAAGAAAAGAAAAAATAGATGCTTTGAAAGATTTCCCAAAGATGCCCTTTCGTATAAAAGCAAAATACCATTTTGCCATTCAGAAAACGCGCGTCGCTTTGCAATCTCAGGTTGCCACCTGTCATGAATGAAGAACTATGACACGTCACCAGCTCCGTAGTATTTCCACGTGTCTAATGACGTCAGCTGATTATGGTCCCCACACCGAACCCTTTAAAACTCCCATCCAGCCCTAAGCGCCAAAAAGCACCCCTCTTTCTCTCTCTCCCTCTCTCCCCCCTCTCTCTCTATTTCTCTCTCTTTCTATTTCTCTCTCGATCAAGAACTCGCACCCATCACTCGGAAGTACGAACACAAAGCTCACTCATTATAATCGCTTGTTATCTGTTTTCTGTGTGTATATAGTTGTAAATTTATGATTATTTGTTGAAATTCCATCTTTCTGCTCTTGCGATTGTTGCCTATTTGCCTTCTTGATTGTTTCTTTAGTAACTGATCATCATCTAGTGGATCTTTAATTGCTATTGTTTTTGTTGTTCGATGATTTTGATGAACAGTCGATCGTTAGGTCTCGTAGTTCTTAAGCTAACTCTGCCAGTAATTTGTTCACATTCATCACTATCATGTGACTTGGTTGGTGTCTTTAAGGGTTCATACTTTAAGCGTTTTGGGGGTTTCTGATATTTGACGATCGTTCTGCTTTCATCAATTCTAGGGTTTCTGCTCTTTTTATCGATAGTTGTTTGTGTTTTTCCCCTAAATAATTTTGTGTAGAATGGTGGATTATGTGTATTTCGGTCATTTGGTAATTGATTTATATTAGTGGGAAGTTTTGTTTTTCATTTTCTGCTTTTGGGGGTAATTGACCTAATTGGGGATTTGATTGGTTTCGGAGATGCTTTCACACACATATACCCACTTGTTAATATTTTTGGTAATGTTATTGTGAGTTTGTGACCATCAAGTGATATTGTGGGTTATAACTTATAGTAAGTTACAACATGTATAGCGATTATGCTGTTCTCACTTTTAGTGAAATATTGACAGAGTCATCTGATGATGGGAAATAGCAGAACAAATGAAAAGGACAAGCCACCTGCTTCTGCTAATCCATTAATACAATTAAACAATGATTATACAAAGAGCATTGCTCCAAATATGCATTCAGTTGGTGGTGTGAGTTTTCGAGAAGGAAATTTTGCTGGTGGTCGTTTCGATTCCGTCCCAGATATGCCTGTTGCCCCTGGTTGGGAGAACATGTGCTCAATAAATCATTCTATTGCCCAAGGGATCCCTGAAACCAGCGGAAACCATATGGCTTATCTGATGAACTCCAGTAGCTTTCAGAATTCCCAATTTAACCTGCTTTCCAATACTGCAAACACAGATATCCCAGAAGTTCCATTGATACCTGAATGGAACATGAGATGGAGTCCTCAGTTTATCAATCAAGAACACAATGCAATTTCTGCTGGTGGATTGAACAATGGGTCTGGTACTAGTAGCTTTGAGAATCCATGGTCTAGTAAGAACCCAACTACTGCAAGAAACTTTGTTGGAGATTCTCAGATGAGCAGGCAGGGTAGAGAATCAAAATTTGCACCTTTTAATAGACCACATGCAAATGCAGATATTGTTGGTTCACCTCTGTCATTTGGCCCTAGAGACACTGCTACAGTTCATACTCGAAACAACGTCAACTTCAATACCAGTCAATGTGGGGTTCAAGGAAAAGTTGAAGGTAGTTTCCTGAGTCTTGGAATTGGAGGCACCGATGAAACCATAACTAGACCACAAACGGGCGTCCGAGAGATGTCTGATACGCTTAAAGAAGCAGCTTCAGCTGAGTTACAGATAGCTCGTGCTCGGAGAGCTATGGGTCAAACTTTAGATGCTGGCTTTATGGGTTTACAGAGAAACATTAGTGGCTTCTCTAATCAATCATGTCATGTGGATCGAATTACCTCAACCAACAATGAAGCTGGAGTTCAGTGTACTCTAAATAGTGGGCCAGGTTCTAGCCCTTATCATACATTACAAATGCAACAAAATGATATGCAACATGGCATCTCTAGGCATGATGATGGTAGCTCAAATTTTCTGAGTAGCAGGAATATAAGATATGGTGATTTGGATCATTATAGAGCCTTTGTGGGTAATCAAGCCGCAAATTCAGGGACAGTTGGTGGTAATTCTGCTCAGTTCTTCAATTCCCAACAATATGACTTGAATGGGTTAGCACCAGAATCTTCTAAGCCTTCATGGATCGCGTCTCATACCCCTTCTGGCCAGCTACAGAGTATTCGTTACACAACTGTCAACAGCCTACCATTGGAAAGTTCAACCAATTCTCCTTCTCTTGGACTTGGAAGCTGTTCTACCCGGCAGAATTATGCAGGTAAGCAAGGTAATTGTTTGCTTTTAACTTTGCTGCAAGGAAAAAAAGGTTTTCATTTTTTTCTCTCATTACATATCACCTCAATCACTGTACCCTTAACAGCATGATATCCTGTCAAATTTGCATCACTTTGTTTCTGGTCTGATTAGAATGGAACTATATAAGATTTAGTAAATGGTTATCTGCAAACTTTGTCCTTTTGTATAACCTTTTAGGGTCCCTGTGTCTTTATCCTAGTGGGTACGGAGGTGGATATCCTTAGAGAACCTTCTTAGGTTCTTGTATTTTGAAGCTCTTATTCTGTACTGACCTATTATTATGTTTGATTTCCTTTCACAGTTCAGTTGACATGGAAGATGTTAACATCTATATTTATATTTCAAAGTTCAGACAAGTACTGCCTTTACATATTCATGCAATGATCATTCAGTGATTTGTTTGAAATCATCATGTGTACATAGTCATTCATTGTGCAGCTAAACTACAAATGTCCTTGTATTTTTTAAGCTTCTATGCCCTGTAACTTTTGTTGTTGTACAATGGGAATGAATTTCATTCATTTAAAATACAAATTTGCTTTCTTGTCAATAATTTCCTTGCTGCAGTATTCACATCTCTAGCTCTTTATCCACCCCTCCACTACCCTACAAAGAACAATTAAGTTGGATACTCCTTACTGAAACAATAAGTTTTCTTTTTGTCCCCTTACAGGGCAACAGCTCTTGTCACACAATGGCATGTCTACTCAAGGTCTTGGTGGTAGTCTTTTTCCCCAGAGGATAGCAGCACCTCAAGTAGCTTGGGTTAGCAGTGGTCAAGCTGCCACAGATGCTCCATTCCCCAAAAGGCTGGGAGTTGAGCTTAATGGGAAAGATAGTCCTCAAGTTGCTGAGAGACATCTATCTACCAGGGGAACAAACTTGCAGACAACCAGTACAGGTATCCTGATGTAGACCATTTTATACATTTCTATGTATATGGTTTATGTGAATTTTGTTAGAACTGCAGGGTGAGCTCAGTTTATAAGCGTCAAGTCAGTTATCTTAATATCCAGTGATGGACCATAATTTGTTTAGCCTGCACTGGCACTTTGGTTGGGGAGCGGGGGGTTTTCGCAGAAGTTGAACTAATTTGAAGTGCTATTCGAATTGGTCGATAAATTTCTTTCGGTTGGATCCTTGTTGGAAGCACAAAAATCCGGGAAGTGTGTAGACCCAAAACCCTTGTTTAGGCGACAAATTTCTGATTCGTTAACTTATGTTAGTTTACAAGAATCAGTTATATATTAAAGCACGATCTCAGAAGCACTTTCTGTGTGCTTTCTTCTTGTGTTTACATTCGCTATATTGGTTTAGCTCATTCAAACAATATGTAACTTGGTTTTTAGGAAAAAGTAAATGGCATGTATTATTGTTTGGTTGTTGTCTGATGTAATAAACCGAAATGAAAATGACCATGATAAATTATCTCTTAGCCATGATGAATAACCAAGCGATTAAGGTTTAGCATCACTTAATGCACATGGGAAAAGTAGAATCTCTTCAAGCTATAAGACTCTACTGGATGCGTTAGCATGGCGTTGTCTTGCATTTTCTTGTTTACGTGGGTGGCATTTAGTGATTTATGTTATTTATTTTCAGGTCAGATATGTCAATTTCCGGACAAAGGATCCACTTTCCTGCCAGATCATCTTCTTCAGCGTTCTATTGGTACGACTACTTGCTCTTTTTCTCAACATCATTGTGGTGGGTTTTTTAATTTCTTGAGGTTGTTTTCATGGCAACCAGATCGGACTGACGGAACACCTGTTAATTATCCATTGAATTCTCAAGAACCCTTTTCCGCTCATGGTAAATAAAACCCAGAACCCCTTGAGGGTAGACAATACTAGTCTGTGCTGGCAATGTTGCATATCTGATTCTTGTTTTTGTCTTCTCTAGGCCAATCTCAAGATGCCTTGATTCAGCTTCCTAAGGATCCTCGAGCAGCAGCTTCTACCAATGGTATTTGGTTCCCTCTCTCTACTTGCACTTTGATATAAGAAGAACCTGAAAAGATGCAACTTGTATAAGTTTCTGGAGCATCTTATGATTACAACTGTGAATATCTAACTCTCACTTTCACTTGATATTTGTCCAGCTTCAACTGTTGATGATCTCTCCCAAAAGTCTGACTTCCATATGAGGCCTTCTCACAAGAGAACTGCAGTTGCTCCCCCTTCTGCTTCCCATTGGGTTCAGCGCCAGAAGATAACACATCCAACCATTCATCATTCTGTTCCAATCCCATTCCCTACAAAACTAGCTATTCCTGGAACAACTGCTCTTGTTCATCCTTCTATACCGGTCGCATCACAGAGAGAACTTGGTTGTCCTGTATCTGCTTCTATTCATCCTTCTATACCTGGAACATCTCATTTTAAATCTCGGATTCCTGTGAAGCCAGCTCCTATTGCTGCTCATATTGCATGGAAAGGTATATCTATCATCTCACACTCTTTAATTCTTTCGATATCTCTACTGTTTGGCTACAACACCTTCTATATAATTTAATTGTACAAGTAATTGTGATGTTACAGTTGTAGTCTTAATTGTGAGAAGCCCTAGCATAACTCTCTTACAAATTTTGCTTTTGATGTTCTTTTTGAATTATATAATATTTATATATGACAAATGTAACAAATAAACTCACACACCCTCCTCACCTTTGGTGAGGTTTGAATCCCTGACCTCCTAGGAGGCCAAAGGCTCATATACCGCTAGGCCAAAGGCCCTTTGGTTGCTTGTTTTGGTGTTAACAGTGCACATATTTACGAAAATAAGTCCAGTATCTTTTGACAATCTTCATATTCACTTTTTGGTATCTTTTGATTGTTTAAGATGGCCAGAGATGCCAAATGTTACAGCAATGCTTCATGCGGAGCAAGTCCTTGCATCTTATGTGATTATTTTCATAGTTGGCTATAATAATCCGGATCCCATGAACATTCCTTGTTTTCTTTGATTTGGGTGGGTATGAGTGATACTAACAAGAAGAAATCTAGAGAAAGCTAGCATAGAGAATTGGTGAATGTTGGATATAGGTTCATGTCAAGTACAAACATACTTTGTCATATTGATTACTCTAGAAGGGAAAGGTCACCTACTTCTCTGCAGTCTGCACATGGTCTCTATATCATTAGATGGGTCATTAGGTATCCTAGTCCAGACGAAGGATCGTGAGAGAATAGGACTTAAGGTGAGAAGTGTAAGGAGGGATTTGGACCCTTGATCGCTTTCAATCCCAAAACAACCCATGAATTGCGTTTTAAAAGGGAAGTGATCCAGTGTATCTCATTAGTGTTGATCTAGTGGTTTTCTTCAATTAGGATTAGTCCAAGGTGGAGATCCCTTCTTACCTTTCTCACCGTAACTTTCATTCTCACCAAACCCAACCCTCCTAGTCCAAGTAGCATCTTTACACAAGATGCCTTCGTATATCTAAGTTATATTGAGGACTACCAGATAGCCTTTGTAATTTTTTTGGGAGAACTTCAGTTGCAGCATATATTATCTTTTGTGGGGATTCATCATATAATTTAACTTATTAATTATTATACAATGTAGGCGCTGAACTAATGTGGGATAGAAGGATTTTTGTTCGAGGGTTAAGCAATGGAGATACACGAAAGGAACAAAAAACATTCTTTGCAGTTTCTTCTTCTATTTCATTCATTATCATTCCCAACACCTGGATGCTACAAGGGAAGAGAGCTCCCCCTTCTATAAGAGGCAGAAACTCTCCAAAGAAGACTCTGGATATAAGAGCGTTCCTGGGTTGGTTCTACCGTGTTGAACCTTTGACCATAGGGCTCAAGAAGTCTCTAGAAAACATGAAGGACCCAGAATGCAGTAGACAGCTTTATACTATTTTTAATAATTATGGGACCCTGTAGGATGTAGTCATAGTGACCTTTGTCTTTGAGATTGTGTACATTTCACTCTTTGTGCTTTGACCCATGTACCTTGCAGCTTTGGCGTGCATGATGTACAGTAATCATATCCAGTCTCTTTATTGTGCCAATATAACCTGCCTATTCGTGATGTATATTTCTTCCTTTGGTGGAATTACTCTACCATTTCGTGGAAGCTATAAAAATTTAAAAGCATCAGATTTAAGAACTATAGGTAGTCCTGAATGGATCGCTCGTGTCTTAACGTGGTAGAATTGGTTAATGAGTCCTGTTTTGAATACACATATTTGTTACTTATTTTTATTTATTTATTTTTCGTGCTTTTTTCACCATATGTTAGTCTTTTGTCTTTGTCTTTCCACCTGGTTGCTCACACTCTTGCACAAGCCACGGATCTTCATGGAAATAACCACTTTCCCCTATTGGGTAGAGCTCAGATCTTTGTACATCCACCCTATTTCCAGACCCTATTTTTGAGTGGGATTTACTGGGTCAATTTGATTTGATTTAATTGTTTGATGATTTTTATGGGTGTTGATGGTGAAAATGCCTCTTTATATCTCGACATGCTTCATATGCCGGCAATTCAAGCAATATCAGTTAAGTCATGTTGACAAGGCTTGTTTGTTAGTAGCTTAATGGAACATTCAGCTTATTCCACAGCTATATATGCCTGTTTGGTAATGGCTTTATGATATAAAAAATGGCTTATTTAGTAAGCTTCTAGGGGAGAGCTTTATGCAGAAAGCCAAGTTTTTTTCAAAACCTACTCCCAATTAAAAAACACGCTTCTTCTATCTATAAAAAAATCCAAACAAAAATATTCTCAATCTATGTAAGACAGATTCATCTATACAAACAACTTTATCCTTACAAAACTTAATGGAAAACCTACCAAATACCCCCTTAGCCGATAGCTCTATCAGGTTAACCATGTAGATCTCTATGTTATGTGTAATATTATACTGTTTTGCTTGGCTATCTGCAACAATTTTTTTCTTTACTAATCCACCTCAGAAACAACCTCTCTACTCTTTGGGGTAGAGCCGTAGAGGTTAGGTCTTTGTACATTTTAACCTCCCCAGACCTCACTTCGGGTGGGATATGCTTTGTTTGTTTGTTTACTAATCCACCTCCAAGTTAAAACCTACTTTGTGCAATCTCTATGCTTAGAACATGTCTTTCTAAACCTCAAGGGCTTGGCTCAGTGGCAGTTCTTCTTTTTTCCGAAGGGTGTCCCAGGCTATGCCTGGACTTATCCCGACAAATTGTGACCGCAAGAAATCAGCCCAGATAAACTCAGTAGCCGCAATTGTTGTGTATGCCTGGAACTGAACCGTTGGTAGATGGGATATTCCACCACATCCCCTAGGACCTCAACCACTATGCCACAATGCTTGTGGTTCTCGGTGGCAATTCTCTAGGTCAACAAGAGTGGTAGTTTCTCTTAGCCTCAAGTAGTTGGATTCCCATTTGGATGCAAAAACCGTTGTGGCCATGCCAACCTCCCATAGGGAGGGCCAAAACTTGTAGCGTTGGGTCTGGCGCCTTTTGGTTGCATAAAATTCAACTCTAACGGGCCATTTACCAATATAAATCGGGTAAGCGCTAACCGGGTAAGGGTGCGGTCTGGGTAAAGATTAAAGAGGTTCGGTTTGGGTAAGCCTTGATTGAAAATGGTTGTTTACCAAATGTTTTGTAGCAAGTGCTTACCGAGAAAATACCTTTTATCATTTTGTGCTGACCCGGTAAGTGAATATCAGTCAGATCAGTCTTTAGGTAAACTAATTGATATAGACTGAATAAACACCAGTCAGCAGTAGGTAAACAGGATTTTTGCTTATTTTGTTATTTGTTACAGCAAACAATTCAGGGAGCATGATTATTTTGTTCTTAAAACTTACCAATTACTTCTTCGGTTTTCTTTCATAAATTCAACACGATAACGACTACGATTATATGCAGATCCCGACAGAACTCCGCAATTGACGGGATATAAATGCTTGCTATGTAAAAGAGACCTTTCTTTAACATCGGAAGGTGCGGTTTACCAACCCGTGCCGCCACCACCGGTTGCGGTTCTTCCTTGCGGGCATACTTTTCATGATCAATGCTTGCAGAACATCACTCCGCAAGACCAGTCGAAAGATCCGCCTTGCATTCCTTGCGCGATCGGCGACAATTAGGTTCGGTATCTAACCCTACTTTTTATGGGTTGTTAAGAATATATAAAACAAATAGAGATACAAGGGGGGTAGGGGATAGTTATGATTATATGTATATACAGGAAAGGAGATTGATATCAATTGGATGGGGATTTGATGCTGAGATATGGTCTGTTGAAAGCTTTTACATGATCATATAAAATTGCCATAACTTTGCTGAAGTTGGAATTTTTTGTGGTTTAGTTGGAAATGTTTAAAAATTTGATGTCTTACTCTACTATCTACTGTTTGGGAGATATACAGGTTTGCTTACATCTTATCCTTTGATTCTACTTTGAAGTGGGATTTACTAGGCGAGTGAGTTTGATTTGGCTTAAAAATCAGATATCCTGATGAAAAGAACCGTTCTACTTTTTGAGGTAGAAGTTAGGTTCACCCTCTAAAACTTACTTAAGGTGGGGTTGTGCAAAACCCGAGTGGTTTGGAAACTTGAACCTGAACCGAAAACAAGGTGTTTGTGCAAAACCCGAATGCATCGAAACCCGAAAATGGGAAACCCGACTTTTGAAGGGATATTTAGGTTCGGGTTGGGTATGATTTTTGACGACCTTACGCTTTTGGAAACCTGAAATACACACACACACACATATATATATATATATATATATATATATAATTTAATAAACACACATACAAGTTTCTAGAGCTCGTTGTTTTAATTTCATAAAACTAATTAATAAACATGTTCAAATATTGAATTAAGTGTTGAACCATATGAATATCATATAATAATCAGATCATTAAAATAAATTTATATTACATTCTAAATTTTAAATTTAAAATATCTAAATTGTAATAAAATTTAAATTAAACAAATTAATATGAAAAAAACGAATTTTATAACTTTTAGTTTGACACCACATCGATGTTATTTTTTTGGGTTTTTATCCAGTATTTAAATTAGTAAAAAACATGTTTAACCATCACTTATGGTTTGTATTTTGTTTTAATTATAAATATATGATTATTGTAATTAAAAGTTGTATTAATTTTTAAAACTTTGTTTACAATAAATTTTACATTTCGATGGATCGGATACATAACTAGTCGTATTATAAAACATATACAATTTCCTAAAGCTCAAATTTGAACTCTGTAAAATGCTTAATAAATCTGTTCAAATATATGATAAACAATTAGATCATACTAATAAGAGAATATATATATAGGGTATATTTCTTTTACAACCTTGTGCATTTGTACAACCTTTGCAACCCAATTAATTGAGATATTTATAGAAATGATTGGAGTTCATTTATKATDWTTTGAATATTTATGGAATATGAATAGAGTTTATTAATTATGATTAATACTTTATATTAGGAAACAATTAATTGATTAAAAATTGAATGATTGAGATGAGAGTTGTATAGGGTGTAGGAATGACAAAAGTTGTAGAATAACATCCCTCTATATATATATATTAATTAACCTGGATATCCAACTTGTTTTATGAGCCGACTAATCCCATGACTATCATCTGCTCTGTAGGTGAGCATTTGAACATCTGTGGTCATAAGAGAATATTTACTCCTAATTGGATTTTAACTTGTGACCTCATCCAAGATTTGTGCCTAGTGGGGGCACCTTTTAAGATAGATTAAAGGCCTGCAAAGTTGTTAGTGTGTTTTTAGCCTAACTCCATTGTTGAGTAATTAAGAATTTTTTTTAAATACCATTTGTATGCTACATTTGCCCTTGACTCCATACACTTTTGACCTTTAGAGCTCAAACTCAAATTAATCATGTCTTTTTACATTGATGTTATTGAAAACGGGTTCCTTATAAAATCAACTAAAATTTTCCATAATCAAAACTTTTCCTCAAATTATGCACAACTATTTATAAGAGAAATTATAATTCATTAATTTAATAATTTTAATATTCAATAATAACATTAAAAATTAGAATAATTTATCACGTGCGGAAAAGCTTTAAATGCGAGGAAAAGAAATATACAAAACAAGTAAACAATGTAACACGAGAAAAGCGTGTGGACTTGAAAATGTAACGACCGAGGAGCATATTCTTTTGTTCGAGTAAATTTTCATAAGACCCCCTGTATTATGTATTTATCTCATTAAGGCCCTTTATGTTTTTTATTTGTTCATTAAGGTCCCTTGAGAGTTTTATAAACATACCCTTCAAATTGTTGATAAAATTACATGTCTTCAAATACCAAAACACATATAGTAAGCGATCCATACCAAATACCAATCACTTATTTGCATCGAGACTGATATGATCCAACCTGTTGCGTTGGACCCGACCAACATAGAGAATGCTCAGTATAAGTACCCAAGAAGAAGTCAGTGCAAAACTGGGCCAAGAAGATCAAAGGTACGCCCAATCTGATACAGTCCCAAGACGTAACTGTAAGCCTCCTCGATGGATGAATGGTTTGTGGTTTGATGCAATAAAACAACTCTGTCATTTTCTTTATTCCCAGTAAGGCAATAACCAATTTCAATTAAGGTTGTTCACTTATTTGCATCGAGCAGAGACGGACCCATAATTTTTTTTTTTCAAACGGTGGCACCATTTTGCTATAAGAAACAAATATAGGGAAACAAATTTAAAATGCTGGCACCATTTGACTATAAGAAACTAATGTAGGGAAAAAATTTCAAACTGTGATACCATTTGATTAAGAAAATAACACTAACAAGATTCGAACTCGGGTCTGGGGTGGAATAAAAGTCTTGCAAACCAACTTTACCAAATAAAACTTGTTCACATTGTAGTTTCAAAATACATACAGTGACACACAACAAAACAATACGGTTGCACTTTTCACGAACCTAATTGTTTTCACCTTTCGATAGAGAAATAATATGGTGGCACGTGCCACCGCTGGCACCACTGTAGGTCCGTCCCTGACACCGAGATACTCAAACTTTTCTAAGTTTAGGATGAAAATATCTAAAATTGTTTTGTCAACATTATTATTCTCAATGGTTTGTAATAGTTTTAGAGAATGTTTAGATATATTGCAAACTTGATTATCATGATTTCAAATTATAATAATAAAATTTACAGTATTGATGAATTTGATTTGATTTTCATATTTTTTTACAGTTAAACTGATCAAATTTTGAGAAACATGTTAAGAGTTTTTTATAACAGACTAGTTTAAAAAAAAAAAACCAGATATAAAATAATTTGACTATCCATAGTATGTAAATTTTCTAAGCCTGGTAGTTGTGAAACCATAGATTTTGTCATGTGCAACCATAACTATTGAAAGTTTATAGATATGTGTAAAGTTTTATAAAGAAAAACATGGAAAGATCTTGAAAGTGGTAATAATATATCTGAAGTTAACCATAAGGGTGGTGCATGATTGTTTTGGGTTTATGCTCCAAAGGTCAAAAGTGTCTGGAGGTCACAGGTTCAAATCCAAAGAGGAATAAGAATTCTCTTGTGACTACGAAGATTTAAATGCGATGACTCTGGGTTACCCGTAAAACATGTGGTGACCTTGAGATTAGTCGACTCGCATAACGGGTTGGATATATATATATATATATATATATATATATATATATAGGGGCTGGTTCAAATACTAACCCAAACTATTGTGCAAACTATGTTAACCGATCTTGATCGTTCATTTTCTCATCAAACGGTCCTTATTAAATGAGATTACAAAAATAATCATTTAATTAATGTATTAAATGAAATGTCTATGAACAACTGTTCAAAGGGTAATTTTGTAAAAAAATCGCATCACATCGTGAACCTATATTATTCAGACGATTTCGTAACCTCCAATCAACTACGAAACTGCCAATCTATACGATCAATAGTGTATATCATTAGCGAAAAATCTGGTTCATAATATTCATCAAAACGATGGATGATTTTGGTGAAATGCATACAAGTTTGAATTTGTGAACCTAATGAACATCACACACACACAACACTTCACAAAAAAACATACAAGTTTGGATTTGTGAACCTAATGAACATCAGCAATATGACATAAAACAGTAACGAATCCCAACGTCTACGTCAGTGTTATTTGTGCTGATTTGACATATGTTAATATATGTGTGTCTGTGCACAAATGTCTTAATGCATCCTAGTATGAAAAATGTAATCGCTATGTGTGTGATCAAGTAATATAGCACAGTGAACATAATGAACAACTCCTATATACGCATGATATGATTTGTGCTATATGACATAAAACAGTAACAAAACTAAAACTATTATTACACAAAGTAGATAATTAAAAAGAGCAACAATAATGTGAATTTACTGAAATTAAAAACTTGGTGAAAAATGTATATTGTTTGTCATCCCGAAATCAAATTTTTAATGAACATAATGAACAGCCCCTATGTAGTTAGTCTTCAAAACTAAAACTATTATTACACAAAGTAGATAATTAAAAAAAGCAACAAGGATGTGGATTTACTGAAATTCAAAACTTAGCGAAGAATGTATATTGTTTGCCATCTCGAACTCAAATCTTTAATGTAGGCGTGTTCACATTAGCGTGTTCATAGCTATCGTATGTTCATATTGGGACACTTATTGATCATTTTCTTCACTTTCGGAATTCGAATTCCGAATGTATTCGTAGACGCTTTTAGCTTTTTCATTTTCATTGTTGTCGATCCGTTTTACTCTATGATTATCCATATTACTCGGACTATAACGAAATATTTACAAAAGAGACTTTTTTCAAATTTACAATATCAAAACCATTATAGAAAAAATAAATGTAAAATTCACTAAAATGAACACATGTGAAACTTCATGTCATTATTACATGAAGATCAATTAGTGATATTTTAAGATTTGTAACTCTCAATTAAAATATTTGGGAGTTACATAAGAATGATAAATTACCTAAATACCCTTACAATTAATATGTGAGTTACATTTGAACCTAACCAAAAGATGGAACATGATTGGTTGATGTTGGTTAGCATAGTTTGCACAATAGTTTTGGTTAGTATTTGAACCAACCCCTATATATATATATATATATTTGAGGTTAATTTCTGTTAGGAATAATTATTGTTTTTTAAAAACATATTTTTTGATTAATTTTTATTTTATATTAAGATAGTTAATTGGTAACCACTTCGAAAAATTTCTAGACACTCATTTATTTTGGTTGAAATCCCATATTTGAGGGGTCTTACTGGCATAACCCAAAACATGGAGGGTCTTTTTGCAATAATACCATAATACAGGGTTTTAATGTGATTGTGATTCGATGATTTTCCTATTTTGTCCTATTCGGCCATCAAAAGAGTCTCTGTAATTTATAGTAATATTATTCAAAGCCTAAGGGTATTTTCGTAATTGTTTCATTTCGCCAGATAGAATGAGACAATGAAACAATCCGCCGTGGAGACTGCAAAGATCCCACCTCCAAATCCTGACCGTCCATTTTCCTCGATCCGACCGTAAAATAGTTGTATGGTGTGGGCGAGCAACAAATGTACGCTTTAGATTTCATAACTCAGCTTACACAAACAACAAAGCCAGAAGAGAGAATCCTCTCTCAATCCGTTCGGTGTTTGTGTGTGTGTTTTTAACCGTCAACTGTGTGTTCTCGAGGTTTTAGAGAAGAAATTTGGTGGAATTTGCTGAATTGTGATCGATTTCGTGATTCATAGCTGTAGATTTTGCGACGGAGTAATGGATGACGGGAAGAAGATGGAGACGACTGTCGTTAATGGCTTCTCTCCGGTGTCTTCTGCTCCTGTTTTCTGGAAATCTCGGAAGAGATCAGGTACTTTGACTTGAACTAATTGTGTATGTTTTGTGAATGATTTTGAGCATAATTTAGTAATTTTGTGAATGATTTGAAGCGTAATTTAGTAATTTTATGTATGATTGTTGATTTGATTACATAGAGTAGTAGATCTGTGTGTCTATATGCTGAATCAATTTTATGATCATGATTCTCCGAGGATAAATCTAGATAGGAGTTTTGAGGAAGCAGGTTGCAATGATTTTTCAACAATGGTGCCTTCAATCGTTCATGAAATAGTTGCACAGGGTTTATTATTTGATGATTCTTGTTCCACATGAATTATACCTAGAGATAATTTTCCATTAATTACAAGCTACAGATCAGAAAGAGGTCAAAATTGGTATAAACGCCCATGTGTTTTTGGTTTGGTGGAAGTTGGAAGTTGGAACAGCGAAATGTAGTTGCAATTGAATAATATATATTTCTTCATTATCGAGGCCCATACAGTTTGACTTGTCATAGCTGATTTTGCAATATTATCAACTAGAAGACTTTGGTCTTCGATACATTTCGTTGATGGTCATCTCCATCTTCTTTCCATCATCCATTATTCTGTCAAAATGAATGAAGAAATTGATCACAATTCAGCTAATTCCATTAAATTTCTTCTCTAAAACCACAAGAACACACAGTTAACGGTTGAAAACACACAGAAATACTGAAAGGATTGAGAGAGAGAATTTCTTCGGGCTTTGCTGTGTAAGCTGAGTTGTGAATTGTAAAACGTACATTTGTTGCTCAAGGAATAAATTTCAATATTTTACAAGTTATGACACTCTCATATGATACGAGGGCTATATATCAACCAAGAAAACAAGATATGCGCAGATGTATGTTGAAACAAAACCATCCAACTAGAATACTAGATTCAAGCAATTGGATGCAATTTTGTGCTTTGACATGAACAACAGGTCCTACACGTTTTGGCCTTTAAACATATTTGTTCCTGGTATCTGTTTATATGACGTGATAAAAAATGAAAATGTAATCATGGGTCCTCTTACTTGATATGAGATCACAAAATCATGTTACTTCCAATTTTTTGTGGAGATCCTGTTGCACCTGTATCAAGATTATAGATCAACGGGACAAGTAATAAATAAAACAAAATATAAAACCTCATATCATATACTATATTAAAAGTTTTACATAATTTTAAGCAATAAAAATATCTTAAAAACGCCAAAGTAAGATATGAAATTCACTAAAGAGAATCATGTTTCTAACATTCTTTGGAACCTGGAATCGAGAATCACCAAATCGCTAAAAGAGTAAAAGCCTAAAACATTATAATTGGGCTAAAACCAAGGTTCTAAATGGCTTGAGACGAGGCCAAACCCCAAGCCTTAGGAGCCTTGGCGAGACCACGACGTTTTTTAAAGACTTACGGCGGTAATCTTTATATCTCATATAATATATATATATATATATATATATATATATATATATATATATATAAACATATGTTTTCTATTATTACTCAATAAGTCTATGATATTAAATAATTCAAATTAGGCTATATATTAAAAAATAACAAATAACAAATTAAAAATGTTAGAAAAATCAAATATCACGATACAAAACCGAGTATTAGGCCATGACGTGCCAGAGGCTTAATGGCACGGGCTTAAGGCGGCGTGACGGCTATTGCAGCTTGCCTTTTAGAACAACGGCTAAAACAGGTACAATTAGGCTAACCGTTAAAAAATATATAATCCTGTTCCATATCTCAAACTGGAACACCCGAGACACCGCTCTGACAAAATGGAGAATGGCGGTGAATAGAGCTGATGATAGCAAGTAGTAATGGCTGGTGCAAGTTTTTATTGCAAACAGGTTCATAGCTATGGTCACAGGAGCCGTTTACTAAACGCTATTTGTCTATCACTTACCCGGGTGAGTATGGTGAGGACCAATAATCTTATCTGTAAGAGGCATTGCAAGGATGAACAATCTTATCTTATAAGTGACGATGGGGACTCTTACCCGGTTAACACTTACCAGGTAAGATTGTTGCTTACTATGCATTTTGATGGCAGAGAATCTTACCTCTTGGATTAGTGAGGGTGACAAACCCTTACCGGTCAAGTGCTTATCCGGTTTGTGTTTGATAAACGGCCCCTGTCAGAAGATACTATCTTGTTGCTGTTATTCTTTCTCGATTATGATACAAATGATTTACCGAGTTTCTGCTTTCAGCTAGTGCGAAGAATTTGCACAAGGACATAGCAGATGAAGCCGACAAGATGTCCGAGAATAAGGAAGAGCATTTGACTGATGAAAAAATGGAAGAATCAACCCCGCCCACAGTTCTTTCCGAGAAACGTAAGGCTCTCTTTGAACCTCTGGAACCAATAATGGATTTGAATGGTAGAAGACCTACGGCTGAATCTTTACTTCCCCCACCGGACTTTGACACCGCCAGTTATCCTCGTGGATGGCTAATCGGGAAGAAACGGAAACTTGTAAATGTGGATGTTGTTGAAAGCATGCGGAGGATTGCAGTACAGGAAATGAACAGAAAGGTATCCTTCGTTTCCACATGTTATCTATATACACTACAACAAAATCGGCTATATATGACACCAAATATATCTAAATATCCTAATAAAATGCATTATAATTGTGCATCCTATGTAAAAGTGTTACAATAAGTTGATTTGGGCGTCGTAAAAACTTTTTTAAGACAATTTTGAAATAGATCTTCTATTAGTCTACACACAAGTGTCCTATAAAAAGATATGTTCATGGACACTTCTCAAAAGTGTTCTATAAGATAGCTAATAAGACACTTTATTAACCGAGTATCCTAAAAACTTGTTAGGATGCAAATACGTTCTAACATCCTATGGTAACACGTAACACCCTACACATACAAACCAAGTCGTATAGAGTGGTTTATTAAGACATTTTGGCATATTTGGTGTCTATAAAGCCAATTTTATTGTATTAATACTACTAGATTTTTCAAATATAATTGATCAAAAAGTCCAACTCATTGATATAAAATTTACCTAATACACCCATATTAGGGGCCGTTTACCTTACCCGCAAAGCACTTACCGGATCACTTACCTTACTGGATGAACATGGCAAGGATCAAGAATCTTACTCGGTAAGAGCGATGACAAGGATCGAAAGTCTTACCCGGTAAGTGAGGATGACGACTCTTACCCGGTTAGCCCTTAACGGGTAAATTATCGCATACGATACGACACCGTTTTGATGGACTAGAATCTTACCCGGTAAGGTAAGTGATAGTGTTGAATCTTACCGGTAAGCACTCACAGACTAAGCATTTAGGTAAACGAACCCTTACTCTAGTGTATCCAAGAAAAAGAACTGAATATCTGCCATACCCTCTAAGACACCTAAGAGCACCTGATATGGGGTTTTGAAGTGAAGTAGAAGCACTACGCTCCATAAGTTAAATGGAAAATTCCATCAAAATGTAACGACAGTGTACCTTAATCCCTATTCAATTCTTCATATTTGTACCGATTCCATCAAGAATTACGATATAACTTGACAACTATTCATGCCATCAATAATCATAGGATCTATAAGTTACCTGTCAAAATGAGAACGGAATATGAAATACTTGATGTTGTTTTCTAATTGAGAAAAAAAAAATCAATTGTTCTAAATAGGAAACTAAAACAAGTTTCGTTACATTTTGGCCAATTTTCAATACTTAAACCCCCGGTTTTCTTAAATAAGAATGAGAAAGTATACGTGTATCACGTAGTCTCACGTTTGGCAAGACATTAGACTGGACATGACATGACTTAAGTGGGACAAAAATACATTTTTGTCTCACCCACCATAATAGATAGAACAAATATTAGGGATGTGGGACAAGATTGACATATTATTAAACTACCCATGTTAAATTAAAACCCTAAAACATTCTAGTATTCTTTCACCTGCCTACCTCACCCTCGCCCGTCCACTCAGTCTTAACCTGGCTTTACAAAACAATGAGGGTATGGGGAGGGAATTTGGGTTCCTTTAAGGATATGACCTTAAGTGGGTTTTTAGTTAAATCCATGACATCCTGGCCTATTTAAGAAAAATGACTTCATACTCACGAGAAAGTCATGGATTTAATTTAAATCTCATTTAAAGTTGTATACCTAAAAATTTCAGGATTCATGATACAAATGGATTATGAATCTTAGGGGCCGTTTGTTTGGTTTTGCATTAAGTCTCGTATTGATAAAATTGTCTATTTGAATTTATTTGTCTCTATAGGATTCAGAATTTTTTTATCTGGGTGGGTTATTCATAGATAGAAGGAGCGTGGTTTTTAATTGGTAGGGGCAGGTTAAAAAAAACTTGGCTTTTTGACATAAAGCTCTCCCCTAAAAGGTTACTGAATAAGTCATTTTCTATATCATTAAGCCATGTATAACTGGCCAAATAAGCTGTGAGTCTCATTAAGATCATTAAGCTGCTAACAAACATGCTCTAACTCTAAATACAGGATAGGGAGATTAATGGGCTAAACGAGCAGTTAGAAGAGGACGCACGTGTCCTCGAACACCTTCAACTTCAGCTCCTGGATGAACGAAGCAAGCGTTCGGACGTTGAACGACAAAACACGATGCTGCAGAACCAGGTGGAGATGTTGATGAATATGCTTCAGGATCCTGAACAAATCGAAGACGATGATCAAGGCTCACAACAACCCTAATTAAGCTGCTTTAAATTTTCAATCATTTTGTAAAAAAGCTAGAATTATACAAATGATGCATGCATCCTGTTTTTGTGTGTGTTTCTGCCAAATATTATGTTCATATAATTAGTGTTTATCTAAATGAACCACTGTCCCAAAATGTACCATATCACATGGATAATAATAATAATCCTATTTGTTTATTTGTTAGCATCAGGGGTATTTACGGAAACAACTTTTCGACATTCTATAAAAATGTGTATAATATTTATAGTAAATTATGGTTTTGTCCTTATGGTTTGTCATTAATTCTTATTTTCATCTCTGTGATTTTCGTCTCTATAGTTTGCTATTTATTGTTATTTCCGTCCCTAGACTAATTTCTACCTTTAAAGTACAAGGGACCAAAAAAGTAAAAGATTGTAAATCACAAGGACTTGAAGAATAATAAATTGTAAACTATAAGGACAATAATATCAATGAAATACAAACCATAGGAACGAAAACTACAACTTTTAAACAATAGAGACGAAAATTGTAATTTTTAACAAACCATAGGGATGGAAAATGTAATTTACTCTGATATTTATATACGGGAAATGAACTCATGCACCCTCCTCATGTTTGGTAGGTTTGAACCTTTGACGTTCTGAAAGGCTGAACTCTACCAATAACCTGGATGCTGTTAGGTCTTTACAGAAACAACTTTTCTACTACTTGTTGGAATAGATGTAAGGTCTTTTAGATCGTACCTTTTTTTTTAAATATATAATATTTATATATAGGGAAGTGAACTTATGTATTCTTCACATATTTGGTGAGGTTTGAACTTTTTGACGTCATGGGAGGCTGGACTCTACTAGTATCCCAGATATCGTTAGGTTTTTTTTAAAAAGAATTTCTCTACATGTTAGAGTAGATGGAAGGCCTACGTACATTCTATTCTTTAGACCATACCTTTTTTAAAGTTGTATAACATTTATATATGAGAAATGAACTCATGCACTCTTCTCATATTTGGTGAGGTTTGAAGCCTTGACGTTCTGGGAGGCTGGACTCTACCAGTAACTCAGATGCCGTTAGGTCTTTACAGAAACAACTTCTCTACCTGTTGGAGTAGATTCAAGGTCTACGTGGCTTTTTTTTGAAATATATAATATTTATATACGGAAAATGAACTCACGAAAAAAAATCTAGTATTACTTTGAGCATTAAAAATTATTTTTGAGACTTTTGATAAATTTGATTTATAAAGTAGCATAGATTATTGATTATTTTGGTTAATTTTCAAAAAATAGCCAAATAGGGCGAGGGCATTTATTTTCCTTACTGCAAAAGAAATGGTGGTGGTTGACACCCAGGTCCGAACCCCAACTCCCAAACCGAACCCACTGCTCGATCTCACGTCCTAAGAGTTTCGTGTGGATCGTCTCCTCCATTATCCCTCCTGCAATCACGCTCTTCGTCTAATATCATCTCTCTCTATCTCTCTGTGGGGTGGATAATCAACGCCATCATCTTTTATCGCGGTCCGTTGAGTTAGGCGCCATTTTTCTCTCGATTCTGGTACGTTCTTCCATCCATCTTCTTTTCCCTTTCCTTCTCTTTTATCATTTATGTACTTGAATTATGCTATTTCAGCAGCATTTGTGTAGATCTATCTTCTCATTGGTTTGATTTAAGTCAATTTCATATGTCTTCTCATTGACTTGATTGTGCGGTTTAATTGGATATGCACAATTTGACACTCGATTTTCTATTTTATGTTTGATTGTTTGATAAATTGTTTATAGTTGTGCGTTTGATTGGTGATGATAGATTTATGAATGTGGACTTCAATTGATAATAGATCTATTTTTGTGTACAATGCTACAATCGACTCTTTTAGGGTTTGAAAAACTCAATTGAGATCTATATGCATTCTGGTAACAGTTGGACAAATTCATTCTATGTGCAAATCTCTATTACGTATAGAAGTTGAAGCTTAGGGTTGGAATAACTTATCATCATTTGAGCCTTCTATTTGAAGCCCTAAGTTTATTAGGAAAAACAGAAGTTCCTGTTGGTTTTGGCGATTTAAGATTTCCAATGAGTCCCATTTATATAATGGGAGGATAATGGCTATCTGGTAGTGGGTCTCACTTATTTGTAGAGAGATGACCCATGAATTGGAGAATGAGGATGATCATATAAATGAAGGATACCAAAGAACAAGCCATTAGCCATGTTTGGGTTGTTTGGAGTTAGATATGTAATCTAGTGGCCTTTGCATCATTAATATGCATCAATTAGAACCTCCTTTATGTACTTTTGTGTTAAATTATTATGAAATCAACAAATTAAGAACTATCATAAAACTCCACAATGGTGGTGCAAGAGCCTCTTTTTGTGGGTCCCATTATTATTTCAACACTAATAATATGAATATAACAATCAAATATATATGTGTATATATATATATATATATATAGAGAGAGAGAGAGAGAGAGAGACTTGGGATCAATATGAGACCATGTTGTTTCCGTGAGACCAGGGAGAGCACATAAATAACACTAAACCTTCACAGCAAAACACTGTGAAGGTAAACCTTCACAATGTTTTTGTTGTGAAGATTCGGAGTATTATTATACCTTCACAGCGATTTATTGTGAAGTTTCAATATAATTTTGTGCTCTCATGGGTATCACGAAAGTCTAACGTGAACCCAACCCTATATATAACTATATATATATATATATAACTATATATATATATAGTATTCAAACTAATAAAATGTCATTTTACACAATATTCGAGGTAATAACCAAGGTTCTTGTGCTACTCCTCCAAAAATGTGGGGGACTTAGGGACTGATTACCAACATTTGTGGGTAAGTGTTGACCAAAATAAGAGATCTTTAAGGTAAGTGATCCGATTGTGATAAGTGTTAACCGGAAATTATTGTTTACCAATTATTTCTAGCGCGCTGACCGAGTAAAAATGACAGTTCAGTTTAGAGTAATTGCTTACTAGAAAAATGACACTTTTAAAACTCTAAATAAAAATAAGATGAACTAAAAAATAATTATGATTAAATTCTAAATTATAAACGACTTCTATTGCTAAAATAACACATATAATGGGTTATTGTATAATAAAATAAAAAGTATAAGGATTATGTTTGATGGTGTCTATATCAATAAGGGGTAAAAGAAAATTTTCTAAAATGAAAATGGCTCACATAATCATAGTGGTCTGACAAATTTTCTTAAGAAGCTACGATTCATATCTGACTATGGTCAGATTGATTTCTGTTGCTTACTCCAGCAGAGGACGGTCAGCACTCCAAATATCTTTAACATTTTAGCGGTAGTTCTTGTAGAGTCGCTACATTTTTTTGCTTATAAGAACCTTTCATTAGAGATGCTCTTAGGTATATGATGGTACACCGTGCCCCATTTCAATGATGTTTGATGGTTCGATTTCTTTTATCTTATTAAACAAACCCCACTACGGTCGAAAGAAAGGGTTTTGATTTTGACGTATGTGGGAGAGGTTTTTTTTTTTTTTGGGGGGGGGTGTATTTTAGCGTACAGAGAGGGTTTGTTAGCCTCACCCATTGTTATTTCTTTATTGGTCAAGGCAACATCATCGGAGTTACTGTTAAAATAAAGATAGGTGGGATGCCGGGATCAATGTGCTTAGTTTTCTTCAAATGTCATCCCCCTTTGTAGTGCTGACCCACTCTATTGGATATGCCACCGCTTCGTTCCTCCATCGTAGTGTAAAAAATTATAGTATCGTGAAAGGTGCCACCGTATCCATTCGTTGTGTGCCACCATGTATATTTTGAAACTACAATAGTGACACAAGTTTTCCTTGGTAGAGTTGGTTTATATTGCTTTTCTCCCATCCTAGACCTGCATTCGAATCCCGTTAGTGTCATTTTCTTAGTTTTTAGCATTTTACTTCAAATTTATTACGTTTCTGAAAAGATTTGCAATAAAAGACTTTGAACATTGAGACCTCACATATGAAAAACAATGAACTAAACAACAAACCAATGATGTTTTTATGAAAAATATCCATATATTTGTTTCTTATAGTTAAGCGGTGCCACCACTTGAAAACTTTTCTAGGTCCGCCTCTGCTCCTTTGATAGGATGCTTGCATATTGAGATCCCATGTAGTTTTTTTTCTTCCCTTCTTATTTTTTTACTTGTCTGTATATGTTGTAAGATAATTGGTTTTGAATTTTGATTGTCAGGACATCTCCAACGCATCTCCAACCCAACACTAAAAGCACAAAAATGGAGGTCTTCTCATTTCCAACCCACCACTAAAACATTAAAAAGTTAGAGGTCAATAAAGCTAGCCTCTATAAATCAAATATTAATATAATATTAAGTTTTTTATAATTATATGTATATATATATATATATATATATATATAATATTAAGTTTATAAATACATATATCATTTTATTATTATTAAAATATTAAAGATGTTTTTTAGTGTTTTTTCAGTATGTGGTTGGAGTTGATTTTTTTCAATGTTCAATGGATCCACCATATTTAGTGTTTTATTTTTAGTAGTTGGGTTGAAGATGGTCGTCAATTTAGCTGTTTTTTATTTAGATATGTGAGCATGATCTTTATTAGTACAGTTAAAGGTAAGGGAAAATGACTAGTAACTGAAGGAAGAATTGTTCTAATGCGATTTTTGTTTTCTTTAAGTTGGATTCTTTATTACTGAACAGTGAACACAATTTCTTTTACTAAACAGAATGTACTTGATCGTCATATGTCTAATGGTTAAGTTCCTTGGTTTTTTGTTTTTGAGGTCCCGTGTTCGAATCGTTACCTGAAAGTAAAAGCTAAAAGCTAAGAAAATGATACAAATGGAATTCAAACCCGTGCTTGGGAGGGGAGAAAAGATCGTGCAAACCAACTCCACCAAGAGAAACTTGTGTTATTATTGATTTATTGTAGTTTCAAGGAATATACGATTGCACCCAACAACAAAATAATACGGTGCACCTTCCACGGCCCTAAAACATTTTACACTATGATGAAGGAACGAAGCAATGGCCCATGCCACCGTATGCACCTAGTGGGTCCGCCCTAGTTTGTGTGTGCCTAAACGCTATCTTCTAGACCTTTTTGGATTTTGTGTTCTATATTGCTCCGCCTTAAAAGCGAACCCTGCCACAAAGATGAAGCTAGTATGCTCGCTTAGCTTAGAGTACACCTAACTGTAGTAGTAGTAGTGGTATATTGTGCAAAGCGATAGGCTAAATGCACTCCCATATATTGTTAAATGCACCCCTACCCAGGGGCATCCATTAATCTTGGTTTTTGAACAGGTCGCTCAAAAAATTGGGGACCAAATTTACTCACGCTTGGGGCTCAGATTTATATAGTTCACCTTAATAAAGATCTATCTAATTTCTTTCAAAATCAAAAGCCGGCTATTTAATTTCAGAATTTGTCGATAAAAAACAAAACGACTCTTTGATATTCTTCTCACTTTGTCATTTTAAGCATTTTTGTTGTTTTAATTGGTAAGATTTTTAATATGATATTAAATTTTATATTGTTTACTACTCATTTCAGATGATCTATAGTTCTAGTAAACAGGGTCCCAATCTAATAGATTGGGACGGCCCCACCCTACCTACTAATTTGCTCACAACAAAAAGCAAAACCAAGACTTGTTACAAATTGTCAATGTATTGATTTAATCTGATTCTGACATAAATAGGGGTGCATATAGCAACACCCGCGTGCAAAACTCCGTGTCATATCCCTTCTACAGATCTACTTTCTAGCATATCTTGTGGAATGAATCCACTGTCATCATTTTGTATGACTTATTTGTTTTTATGTTCAATGATGACCCTTGTATAGTTGAGTTCTTGGTGGCCTTTACTTAATTGCAACTTTTCAAATGCTTTTGGTTTTTTATTTGGTCGAAAGTTCCAAACGATCATCGACCAAATTGACTGTAATTGGAGGGATCGTGTGAAAACAAGCCTACATTCATATTTAACTTCGAATCTTTGATTGTCCTTATCCTGGCCGGTTATTGCACTTGATTCGCACACCAAATTTACAAACTTTTTCTTCTTTATTGGAGTCGGTTTTAGTCCATTTTAAAGTTTGACGGCCGTTTACTAAACGCTTACCCCGTAAGTGCTTACTGGGCCACTTTACCCGGTAAGAGCGATGACAAGGACCGAGAGTCTTAAAATGTAAGTGATAATGATGAGTTTTACCTTGTAAGCACCTACCGGATAAAAATGTTGCATACGATACCACTTTGAATGGACTAAAATCGTACCGGATAAGTTAAATGAAAGTGTTGACGCTTTGGTAAATGTAGCCTTCATACTTTTTGACATGTTTAAAGTAGGGGAAGTTTTCTGGTAGTGTTGCTGTTGAACTCCCAGTCCAGGGCGGATTTTGGTTTAGAGGATGGTTACTAAACACTTATCAACTCTTACTAGGTCTTCTTACCTCTTACCGGGTAAGAGACGCTTATCGGTCAGACATGATGGTTATTGCCAACAATCTTACCATGTCATTTTGCTAACCAAGAATCTTACCCCGTAAAATAAGGGTGGTGATTCTTACGTGTTAGCACCTACCGGGTAAGAGACGCTTATACTATCCTATTTTGATGACAGAAATCTTACCCGGTAATGTAAGTGAGAGTGATGACTCTTACCCAATTTGTGTTGGTAACGTTGTGTTTTTGAATTTGGGAAGAAAAGAAAAGAAATGGATGGAAAAGAAAGAAAATACTTTTCATATTCTTGAACAGAAGAAAAAGAAAAGGAAATATGTCATTTTTACAAATGTACTCTTTTATAATGAAAGGTCGGGTATTTCTGTAATTTTAATAATCTTTTTAAAAGGTTTTAATTCTTTTCCTTTCCTTTCCCTTTCCTCCCATATTTGGAAGGAAAGTTTTAGGAGGAAATTTATCATTATTTTCCTTTTGTCTCTCTTCCTTTCTCTTCTAAAATAGATTCGAGAACACTGACTTTTTTTTTTATTTTACTTTCCTCCTCTTTTCTTTCCTTCGTAAAAGAAGGTTTCGAGATCATAGCGTAAACGACTCCTTAGGCTAGGTGGTGCCCGTTAGGTGTCTTAAAGGTGCACCTACGTTAAATGGATGTGTGCTTCCCTATGTTAATAAAAAGTGTGGTAGTGTCGTTACATATTTACTTGTGGCATTAACGGTTGCAAGTACAAGTCCTTTTTGGCTTTCTTTTAAATTTTCGGTTCTTTTAAAATTTCGGTAGCCACGGTAGAAAAACCTTCGTGGGTGTTGTAAAAAACCACTTGTATATCATTTTTATAGAAAATGTATGTTTTATAATTAATATTTGTTTTATTTTATGTTATGCTGATTATTTTGTGCTCCCACTTATAAATTTTTGTGGATCAGCCTCTACTCCTACTCCTAGTTGCATGATGGTTCTAGACAGCGTAATAAATTCACCCCACCGGAGGTCACAAACCGCATTTTCTTCACCGTCATTCAGAAAGCAATCCGAATTGGGTAGCTTTTCGACAATCATTAGGCGCCACCAATTCCTGCTAACGGCCCTCGCCCTCCTTGCTTTCCTCTGCACGGTTTATCTTTACTTTGCCGTAACTCTAGGGGAAGATAACTCGTGTTCGGGTTTGACTGTGACTCAAAAGGCGTTGTGTCATGCTCAACACGTAAAACAAACGGTTGCCAAAGGGAAAATGAAAATTCTCTAGCGAATAGAAGAACTCGACAACTATATATAGTCAGTAAAAACTAAATCAAATGAAACCAGTAAATCTCACAGTCTTTTTTCATCTTATCTGTTTAGGGTTCTTTTTCTAGGATTCTACTAAAAACAAAGAATTTGTCGACTCATTTTTAGTGATTTGCAGCAGAAAGAAATGTGTATTTAACCTAGAAACAATTAATTATGTCCTTGGTAAAACTAGTCTTTTTTATTGTAATTTTTCTTTTTTGTGTGTGGTTTTCATGGTTGTATGAAGATGTTGAAAATGTTGAGAGCAGGGTTGTAAACAAGTCGAGTCGGGTAGTAAATTATTTGAGTTTGACTCGAAAAAATGTATCAGGGTGAGGCTCGAATAACTTTTTCGAAGTAGGGTTCAAATACTAAGCACAAAATATTTTTTGATTTATCGAGCTCGAGCTCGATGATTTATAGACTTGAACTGACAATCTATTAACTTGATTATTGGTTCGAACATGATAATTTTATATTTTTATTGTATAATTAGTGAATATATGAACATGTTTGGCTCGAAAAAAATGTATGCTCGAATGGTTTGGCTCAACTCAAAAAAAGTTTGAATAGCTCGTTAAAAGTTCGACTTGTTTGCACCGCTAGTTGAGAGTAAAGTTTTGGTTAATTTATAGTAACTGATGATTGCATCGACTTAATGATGATATAGTGTTAAATTGTTAATTTGAGGTTGTTTATTGCTCTATTTCTAATCATGGGTCGGGTTTCAGTGAGAATTTAGTTAAGGTGAGAAGCGTAAGAAATGATCTTCACCCTTGGATGTACATTAAAATAAGATGTACCAGATAAATCCATGTATCAAGTACGTATGAATGAGTTTGAAATTAAAGGTGATCAAATGTCCATAATTTATCTTACGCTTCTCATCTTGACTTTCGTTCTCAAATGACCATTCGTCATATTTATTTTTTGTTTTTTTAATTTTGGAAAAATTCATCGATATGTAACGAAACTTTAGTTCCTATTTAATATTAATAAAGAGTATTATTATTTTTTTCTCTATCAATATAACTCATTTCATATTTTATGGAGTAAATTGTCTTTATATTTGTGACTTTTATCTCTGTAGTTTCGAATTACAGTTTCGGTTTTTGTGGTTCGCATTTCATTGATATTTTCGTTCCTGAATCTAACCCCCACCTTTGAAAACAACAATTGTGTAAACCACAAGAACGAAAACAATTGTGTAAACCACAAGAACGAGAACAATAATAGACTATAAATCATAAAGACGAAAACAACGATAAATTTTTAACCATAGGAATAAAAATCATAATTTTTATAAGTACAAGGACAAAAATAACAAATTTCAATAAATCATAATGTAATTTACTTTATTTAATTTAACAAAATTTCTCTAATATAACTAAAACTAGGTGTTTAGTTTAAGTTGGGGAATGAAAACGAAAATAACAGAAAATGAACATGGAAATGACTTTTCATTCTCCTCGATTTAACTTGGAATGAAAATTTGGGCTTATGGGAAAATGAACTCATTATATTATATAAAATTAAACAGTTTCTTTTATTATCATTACCATTGGTTATTGCTTAATCCTTACGACCAAACACTCCTAAGTTCAAATCGTTTCTCATTATTTCCCTACTTTTATAACATTCGATGATAAAAATGTCAAATTTATCATCCAATGCTCTCTAATCTGTTTGAAAACGGGTATAATGTCGTTAAATATTACAACATCAATAGATTATCAGTCAAAATGATATAAATAGGAAAATGTTAAACTTCATTACATCTATCAGTAGAAAAAACCTCATTGCACTAAATAAAAATTAAGAGGGCATTTAGTTTAGGCAGCGAATGAAAATGAAAATAACAGAGAATGAAAATAGAAATAAATTTTCATACCCCTCAGTTTAACCTGGAATGAAAATTTGGGCTTCTTAAGGAATGAACTCATTATATTATAAAAAACCAAACAGTTTCCTTTATTTTCATTCTCATTAATTACTGTTTAATACTTCTACCCGACCGAACACCCCCTAAACCAAATCTAATTATATTTTGATGGATTTTGCCCTATTATTTAATACACATACAACAACTACATATCTTTGATTTTCAAAAGGTAGAAAAAAATTGAAACTAATAATAAACAGTTAAAATAAACCACATGTTTACCACATGTCGATATCAAATAGTGATTTTTACCAAAACCAACATAGTTTTTAAATAACAAAAAAAAACACTTCAATTATGACACAATAAAAATACATGAAATATTGAGTTTTACCAAACCAACATGGCTTTTAAATAACAAAAAGCACACTTCAATTATGAGTTAATAAAAAATAAACACTCATTTAACAAACACCCAATGTTGACTAATTCATCCCATGAGCATCACTTACCTTTTAAAGTATCCACAACTTGCCATCCCATCATTTCTACATTTACTACTTTCATCCATCTTTTACAATGATTCACTTAGATTTTGAGATACTGGTTTAAAGACTGTTTATCTAATGTTTAGGGGTTGTTTGTTTACTTCTTAATAGTTTTATTAAGAAGTAGCATTTGAATCGTTAAGAGATGAATCTTGTTTGGCAAAAAAGAAAGTATGTCTCTTAGTGGTTATAAAATCTTCTGAATGATTATGTATCATGGGTCTCCCTTAACCATTCATGAGAGTCTCTTAATCATTCTAATCACTTAATCATTCTGCACCAAACTATTCAGCAACTGTCCAACAGCTTCTTACTCTGATAAGTACTTACCAAGTCATATTATCTTATCGAACATATTATCTTATCGAATGATGGTCGAGTAAGAGCGATGGCAAGGACCGCGATCTTACTCGGTAAATGAGTGCGACGACTCTTATTACGATTAGCATCGGGTAAACTGTTGCATACGATACTGTTTTTGTGAACTAAAATCTTACTCGGTGAGTATATGATAGTGTTGAATTTTGTCGGTAAACATTTATTCGGGTAAGCGTTTGGTAAACGAGCTCTTAGCCTCAAGGGGATGTAGTGGAAAATTTCATCTACCTCAGTTCGAATCTACATGTTGTCAAATCCCTTATGGCCATGGAGGTTCGCTGCGATGCCTTCAGACCAATCGTGGTCGCATTGACAATTAGTCGATTCAAATAAATTGGTCCAAAAACTCAGACTTACAAGAAGAATCATCTTTTACTTGGCTACTTTTTTTTTTTATCTAAAAAGGGTGAAAATGTGATTATGTTATTGGCTCATTTTGAATGTCCAAATCCGGATAACCTTCTAACTCAAAATCTTGAATAGCTAGTTTATAATCAGTGTGTTGATTAGTTGAATCATTGTGATGTCGAGATGAAGGTTAAGTCACCCCTACCCTACTGCCAACGACATATATTTCCCATTTTAACCCCTCATTCAACTTACATTTTCTTACCGACTTTTAACTATATTGATGGTTCTTCTTGATTGTCCAACTCAAAAAACCCTGATGTCTAATAATCGGTTTATAATCACTATGTTGATCGGTTTATTCATCAAGATATCAGGATGAAAGTTAACTCGTCCCTAACCAACTACCAATAGAGATGTAAATTTACCTCTTGGTGTGGGTACCCAACGGGGTAGGGATTCCGGGTAACTTGGGAGGGAACGGAGTTTATTTTATACCTGAAACAGGGTCGGGGATGGCATTACCGCCCCTAATCCAACCTCGATTAATTTTTTATTTTATTTAATATATGTACGTAGTATGTGTATAAATAAATATGTGTATATATGTATATAGACTTGGGATCACGTGAGACTAACCTATTCTCGTGAGACTCATGAAACCATTTTTTTACACTTGAAATTTCACAGCAAAATCCTGTGAAAGTTCGACTTTTTTTTTACCTTCACAATATTTTGCTATGAAGTTTCAAGTGTAAAAAAATGGTCTCACGGGTCTTACGAAAACAGGTTGGTCTCACGTGAACCCAACCCTATGCATATATGTATACATTTAAATATATTTGATTTTCAATACTGCTAATTAATGTAATGATGATTCATTATAATTTAGATTTTAAACTACATTGTTTTTTATCAAACAATTCATGAACCCGTCGGGGATTCCTTTCCCCCGAACATGTCATGGGTTGAGATCAGGAGATGCATTATACGTCCAATTCCTGTCTCTAACTACCGGTAACCAAATCAAATCAACCCAATATTTGATTCAAAAGAAGGGGTCCCTACCTACTATCAATGACATCATTATGTTAAAATCAAAAACCTCAAAGTTAACTTCCATAAAACACATATTACAACATTCTTGGACAATCCCCTTTGTCCAAAGTCCACAAAATCATGTGTCATATTCCCTAATGAATGGTTTCTACCTAAATAAAAGATCTAAAAGTGCTACAATTTGACATCAAAATATTGGGGGCAGACTTACTATATTCCTATCCATTTTGTTGCCATCATTCTCCACCAATAATTAGTTATAATGAACATCTACTCATCATATATGCACCATCATCAACAAAAATATAACGGTATCAGAGCCAGATTTTGATCCTAGACCGCGTTGGACTTAGCGGTGGGCTCAAACTTTTTGTCGAGTCGAGTCGAGTGGGTGCACCTTTGAGGTGGATCGAATGCCCGCAAAGTCACCCGATGTTTTTTAACCGAATTCTATCGTTAGGAGGGTTTTTAAGATTTTTTTTGGTTGATTTTGAGACTTTTTCAGTTTTTGGTTGATTTAACGAGACTTTTTTGGGTTTTTGGCTGATTTAAAGAGGCTTTTTCAGTTTTTAGGTTAATTTCGAAAGACTTTTTTAGTTTTTTTGGGTCGATTATGAGAGATTTTTCGGTTTCTCGGTTTTTTTGATTGATTTCAGTAGACTTTTATGGTTTGGAGGATGATTTCGAGAGACTTTTTCGATTTCTTAATTCAAAGAACTTTACAGTTTCTTGGTTAATTTCCCTTTTACTTCTTTAATATCTTGGAACACTCCTACACTTTTAATATCCTAAAAAAATTCTACTTACAAAAATCAGTGGAACGATTATACGGGACCCATAGAGTCCTTGTAAGTCTCCCCCTAATTATGGGTCCACCAACTCTAGTCCATCTATAAATCATGCCACAATCAACTATTTACACTTAAGGGGGTGCTTCAATAGAGACACCCACAAACATAGTGGCATTTTAACTACTATTTCACCATATTGAACGTAGAAGCAGGAAATAGAAATACCTGTCAGATTGCAGAAAGTTTCCAAAATGATCTTTCAAAGAAAAATTGTCTTCGGATTCTTCGTGTTCTTCGTTCTCGAGCGTTTAATGGCAGTATCGGGAATCGATAAGAGCCCACAACATTCACTTCAGACCGATAAAGATGCGCTGCTGGAGTTCAAGAAAAGCATAAAGGTCGACCCAAAATTGGTGCTTTCGAACTGGAACGAGACCACGGAAGTTTGCAGGTTCAATGGGATCGTTTGCAAGAATGGGAACCGTGTTGGCAGAATCGCGCTCGTCGGGGCTGGGCTTGTGGGACCATTTTCACCCGTGATAGGAAACCTCACGGCCCTTAGAACGATAAATCTTTCGGATAATAGTTTATACGGAAACATCCCATTTGGGATTTCGTCTTTACGGCATCTTAGAAACCTTTATCTAGACAACAATAGCCTGCAAGGTCCGATTCCCGGATCTTTATCTTCGTTATCAAATCTTACTCTTCTTGCTCTTGGCAACAATGGTCTCCATGGCGAGATCCCGCCTTCGTTGTTCTCAAACTGCAGTTTGTTGTCGAATTTGGACCTTTCGTTCAATCTCTTCAGCGGGAAAATCCCACCAGAAATCGGAAATTGTCCGAAACTTTGGAATCTGAATTTGTATAACAATCAGTTCACCGGAGAAATCCCGTTGTCGTTGGCAAACGCTTCAGAAATGTACAATCTTGACGTAGAAAGCAACAATCTTTCTGGCGAACTGCCATCAAAACTAGTTTCCAAGCTCACCCAACTTCTGAATCTTCATTTATCATATAACCAAATGGTTAGCCATGATCGAAACAGCAATCTTGACATCTTTTTTACCGCACTTTCAAACTGCAGTATGCTCCGGGAGCTCGAGTTAGCCGGCATGGGACTAGGTGGAACGCTACCCGATTCCATCAGAAAACTAGGTGTCAATTTCAGTTACATGCTGCTACAAGAAAACAAGATCTATGGTTCAGTTCCATCCGTTATCGCTAATCTTTCGAGCCTAATATATCTGAATTTGACCATGAATCATCTCAACGGAACAATCTCGCCAGAAATCAGTCGATTACCGAGACTAGATAAACTCTGGTTATCCTATAATGTTTTCACAGGCGAAATCCCAGAAGAAATCGGACAGTTTCGTCATCTGGGCGAACTCGAATTGTCACATAACAGATTCACAGGTAAAATCCCAGAAAGTTTAGGGAATTTGGTTAGTCTAATTTCCCTCTCCCTCAATAACAACCAACTTTCAGGAAAAATACCTTCTACTTTAGGAAATTGCATAATTCTATCGAGTCTAGATCTTTCTTACAACAGATTAACCGGAAACATACCTTCGGAGTTATCATCAGCCATGCGTCGTAATGCAATTTTCTTGAATCTTTCTCATAATCGTCTCGAAGGACTGCTACCTTCTGACCTCAGCAAGCTAGAAACCATCAAAGAGATCAATCTTTCGTTCAATAAGCTCACTGGAACCATCTTTCCTAAAATTTCGAGTTATATGGCCTTAGAGACGTTAGATTTGTCGTGCAACTCATTTCAAGGTCAACTTCCGGAGTTCTTGACCAAGCTTACGAGTCTTGAAGTGTTTGACGTATCTAACAACAGTCTATCGGGAAAGATCCCAACGGGTTTAAGCAAAATCGATAGCCTTAAATTCTTGAATCTTTCGTTCAATGACTTCAACGGCAGAGTTCCTGAGGGTGGCATTTTCGATTCCATCACTAATCTTTCATTTCTAGGAAACCGACATCTTTGTGGGCATGTTTCTGGCCTCCCATTTTGTTCCCACAAGAAGAAATACTTCCATTCCCCCGTTTTTCTGGTCATTTTCTACGTCGGCATTTTGGTATTCGTTTTGGTGACGGCAATCTGCTGTGTGATCGGATGGCGGTATCTGAAACGAATCGTAAGTTCTAAGGCTCGGCCAGAAACGGAATCTCAACCAGAACTGACACATAACTTCCCACGAATCACGTATAAAGAGCTCGCGGAAGCTACAGGCGGATTCAGTGATAATAGATTGCTCGGTTCGGGAGGCTACGGACGAGTATTCAAAGGATCACTTCCAGATGGAACGCAAATAGCAGTCAAAGTGCTTCAGTTACAAACAGGGAATTCAACCAAAAGTTTCAATAGAGAATGCCAAGTTCTAAAAAGGATTCGTCATAGGAATCTGATAAGAATCATAACAGCTTGTAGTTTACCTGACTTCAAAGCTCTAGTTCTTCCATTCATGGCGAATGGAAGCTTGGATAACCGTTTATATCCAGATTCAGATTCATCGGATCTGAACCTGATTCAACGAGTGAACATTTGCAGTGATATTGCTGAAGGAATGGCTTACCTCCATCATCATTCCCCAATTAAAGTCATACATTGTGATCTGAAACCTAGCAATGTTCTTCTCAACGACGACATGACAGCTTTGGTCTCCGATTTTGGGATCGCGAAATTAGTGATGACGATCGGATCTGGATCTGAGAATTTGGGGAATTCGACAGCAAATATCCTTTGTGGATCCATCGGTTACATTCCACCAGGTATCAAATTTCTAAAGCCAAACTAACCATCATAAATTTCAGCCATTGCTAAAACCTTGGAAACGGGTTTATGTACAGAATACGGATACGGATCTAGCCCGTCAACACTAGGAGACGTTTACAGCTTCGGCATTCTGGTTCTGGAGATGGTGACGAGAAAGAAACCGACGGATGAGATGTTTTCTGAAGGAATTAGCCTGCACAATTGGGTGAAACGCCATTATCATAGACGAATGGAAGATGTGGTGGATTCATCGCTGGTGCGAACGACCAGAGATCAATCGAACGATGTGAAGAAAATGTGGGAAGTGGCGATTGGAGAGTTGCTGGAGATGGGGATTCTGTGCACACAAGAGTCTCCGGCGAGTAGACCGACGATGATGGATGCCGCCGGCGATTTAGATCGACTGAAAAGGTACCTGGGTGGCGATACCACGGCGACATTCGCTTCGTCTCTTGGGATATCGTCTTCGACCATAAGTGATGATTAGCAAGCACAGCCATGGTTTTCAGTGTACGGATGGAACGTCTTTTTTATCGGTTGACTCTTTCGTGTTGACTTTTGAATATTAAATCAACATCTTGATCATTTCCATAACATTATTTATAGACAAAAATGTGAGAGTATCTCCACGTTTTAAAAATGGAGGTTTTAATTCGTTACAAAGTTCATCACGGTAACTAAATTTTGGGTATGGTTGGATTGGACAGAATAAGTATATGTCTGGTATTTATAATTATTATAATTGGATTGGATAGAACAAATTATTTTTAAAAATTATTTAATGGTTTTAAATATTATATAATAGTTATAATTAACATAAATAAAATAAATAATTAAAAAATTTAATTTATAAATATTTTTAGACAAGTTTCGTATAAATGAATACATACATATATAATGATACCAAATTTGAATAAAATTTTTGATATATTGATGGTGGTAGTAGTGGCGGTGGATGTGGTTATGGTTATGGTGGAGGTGGTGGTGACTGACGGTAGTAGTGACGATGGGCGGTTGTGGTCTGCGGCTGACGGCAGTTATAGAGGTAAAGGCGGTGGTGGTTGATGGACGATCGTGGTTATAAAGGACGTGAAGTTGGTGGATTCTGGTGGTGGTGGCAGTTGACAAAAGCGGATGAGGTAGTTGTGACTGATGTAGTGAAGATGGTGGTGGAGGTGAGGTGGTAATAGACGATGGTGGTCGATGGTCAACAATTGTTGTGGAGGTCGTAAAGGAGGTTGTTGTAGTATAGGAGGAGTTGGGGGTGGCCAATGGTGGTAGTGGTGGTGGCAATAGATGGTGGCCGATGGTCGATGGTGGTTGTAGATATGGCAATAGACAGTGGTGGTCGGTAGTCGATGGTGGTTATAGAGGTCATGGAGGAGGTTGTTGTATAAGAGGAGTTAGAGGCGGCCAACGATGACAGTGTTGGTGGTAACGGGTGGTGGTGGTAGTTGTAAAGGTAACAATGGACGGTGGTAGTCGGTGGTTATGGAGGTGGTGAATGAGGTTGTTGTAGTAAATGAGGAGTTGGAGGTGGCGAACAGCGGTATGGTGGTGGCAAATGGACGGTGGTGGTCGGTGATCAACTATGGTAGAGGTGGCGATAAACAATGGTGGACGGTGGTTGTGAAGGCGGTGGATGATGTTGTTGTAGTGGAAATGGAGGTGGAGGTGGCCACAATGACCTTCGGTGGCGGCGACGACGGACGAAACTAGCGGTGATGACCATTAAAACAAATGTATAAAATATATATAGACAAAGACAAGAGGGACCTTCTTTGGAAACGTTGTAACTCGTGAAATCTATTAGATTCAATTTAAACTGCATAAAACTAATTAAAAATATAATATAATATAAATTAAAAAAAATCCCTGTCCACTTTTCTCTTATCTCAGCTTTATCATCTTTTCATAACATACACGCACAAAAATGTAATTGAATATTCACATAAAATGTACAAATTGTGAACACTTTATTACAAATACTATTTTAGTTTGTAAACACATTGTAAACGTACTCTAAATCTACGAGATTTTATATAGCCTGTAAACATACTGTAAACACCAACTAAATCTAAACCTTTAACTTATGAACATATTATGAACACCTTATTAATTTTTTTAAGGTTGTTTACATTGTATTTACAATGTATTATGTTTTCAATTTATATGGACATTTAAATGTGCATGTGTGTATGTATGAATTTTCTAAAAAAATGGATTAATTTTTATTTATTTATCTCATTAATTATTTTAAATTGGTGGTTTATAATTTACTAGAATGGTACTTGCATAATGCAGTAAGATACATCTCGATTTTAATTTTTTGTTTTTATTATGTCCCATGTCGATGTTATTAATACTGTTTTATGCGGTTTTGAGAAAACAATAATGTTTTTATTTTTGAATAAAATATAAATTTGATATAATAATATATTTTTTATAAAAATAATAGTTAAGTATTATGTTAGAACATAAAAATTATCCTAATTATATTTTAGATTTTTTATATTTTAAATAAAATGTTTATCCTGTATTTGATTATTTTTATCTGCAGTTAGTTATACAATTGCAAACATGAAATTTTAATAAGTTGTACTTATACATAATTTACTTGTAATATTGAATTTTAAGTAATATACATCAATAATCAGTACTTCATGTATACAAAATGGTTTTTATGATTTTTAAGAGTTTACGAGTTTTGTAAATAATTAAATCCAAAACCCGAAAAATATTAATATAAATATTAAATAAAAAATGAATATAAAACTATTTCGGGCCAAACAATATTATGGTCCGGCCCAATAAGTGTATTTTACAAATCGACCCCTCGAGTTTTGAAAAACTGCCAATTCACATCCTTTTCTTTTTCCCCTTTCTTATATTTTGTAGCAAATGTTAAATAGTCTTGTGCGCGTTCGTAAAAAAGTTTTATCCAAAGCCCTTTTCAAAGCAAATCCTCATCCGATCGTCGTCATAATCCTCGTTGTTCTTCAACAGATCGCAACAGGTACGACCTAATCTTCAAGCGTTATTCATGTGTAAATATGTAGTTTGTGCATCGATGTATCGGTTCTGTTAAAAGATTGTTGTTCCCTAGGGTTTTGGCTTTTGCAAGTTAGGTATCATACTCGTTCTCTTTAAGAAAAAAGGTATCGTCATCGTTTCTTATTTCGAAATAAATTAGTGTTATGAGCTGTAATTATGGTATTCGATGATCGACGCTGAATTGTGTGGTTCGGTGGATATCGATTAATTGAGCAATATGTGTTTACGACGCGGGATATATGTAGATTTGCGTATCAATAAGTTCTTATGTTTTTAATTCTTAAACATATTAGGGTTCTTCTTTCTTGGTGCATCATAATCGTGGTCGAATTCCGAATACCCAAATATTTTCTTTTGAGACGGTAAAATTTTATTCAAAACTGAAAACTGTTAGTACAAAGAGAATGGGAATATGATCTGACCTCTGGCTATCCAAACTGAACGAGAATACCGATATGGAAGACCCTTTTGTATTATTCTGTGATTTTTTTGTTATGTGTTTCATTGAGTGTGATGATTGATTTCCAATTATCAGTTTTTGGTTGATATGATTGGTTTACTATCCATGCCAATATGTAATAAACATGGTTCTAAATAACTCGTTATGGCACCAAGGTTTGGCTTTGCCGCCATTTTAACCCCTATGACTCCACTCTAAGGTTTGGTTTGCGTTGTAACACTTTATGGTGTGTTACGGCGCATTATTCTGTAAACCGGGTTCTTTTCTTATTACCTTTTCTAAATATGTAACTTGGGGGATACTAGATAACAAAAACATAAATAAACATAAAAAAGAAACTGAAAACTGAAAACCCTAAATAGGTAAATCCTTGCTCCCATTCCCGTACGCAGAGAGTCGAACACGAATTCCTTGAGCATTGAAGAAAGTGATAAGTATTGAGTAGAGACTTATGAGATTTAATCCTGATTTCATATAGGCTTCATGTATTTGATATAAATGTAATTTTTAATTCTTATAACTGTATACGAATTTAAATTGTATTACAATATTATACAAAACATGAACACATACAAGTATACACACACATACATATATGTATATTTATGCTGCCTTAGGGGAAAAATGACGTGGCCTCGCTGTAACTCTTAAGGCTTGAGGCTTAACCCTGCGCCACACCATGCCTCATGTTGTTTAGAACCTCGGTAATAGCACCCACATGGTGCATTTTTGTGCATCAATGAGCTGTTTCAATGTCATATTTACAATTTGTTTTGGTTTGGGTCTTCTCAAGTTGGGTGTCATGTTTGTCCGTTTGGTATAACAAAAACTTGTCCCATGTTTGGTGCGACATTTAGACTGGGATATGATGGGACTGAGCAGGACAAAATTGTAACTTTTTGTTCCATCAAAATAGGTGGAACAAAAATCAGGAAAATAGGACAAAATTGGTAAATCACTAAACTTCTTATGTCAAATTAAGACCCTAAAACCTTACCACAATTCGTTCACCCGCCTACCTTATGTCACATTAAGACCCTAAAACCTTACCACAATTCGTTCACCCGCCTANAAGACCCTAAAACCTTACCACAATTCGTTCACCCGCCTACCTTATGTCACATTAAGACCCTAAAACCTTACCACAATTCGTTCACCCGCCTACCTCACACTTGCCTGTCCTGTCTAGTCCCGTTTGGTATATCCAAGGTTCTTCTGTCTTGTGTATATTATTTTTATGGTCTTTGACAAGTGTGATGATTGGTGTCGGATTATCAGTTTCAGTGAATATTGATTACCAATAGAGCAGACAGAGAAAGATGTGGGCAGCTTCTTGCCTGGCCACCTGTTGCGCATCATGTGCGTGCAGTGCATGCCAGTCGGTGGTGTCAGGGATTAGTCGTCGGTCTGCTCGTATTGCATACTGTGGTCTCTTTGCGCTTTCTTTGATTGTGGCATGGATTCTAAGAGAAGTTGCTGCACCGCTCATGGAGAAGATCCCATGTAAGTCCTTCTATCTTCAATCTTTCGCTAAAAGCATATATAATTTCTATCAGTGTTTGGCTATGGGATCTAATACAACTTCAATTGTACAAAAGGAAAATCAATTTATGTTGACGAAATCTGAGAGAAGGGGTACATCTAAGATAAATATACTCCCTCCATCCCAAGATAAATGTCCACAATGAAAAAGGCACACAATCTTCGAAAAATGTGTAATATTACACTTTTTAATTAACTAACGACAATTTTATCCTTAATAATAGAGGGAGTAATGAGTTATCTCGTAATTAAGGGTAGAATTGGAAAGTAGGCACTTACTTTTGAAAGTGGATACTTATTTGGGAATTGGGACATAGGAAGATAGAAATGTGGACGCTTATTTTTGGACGGAGGGAGTAATTACTATAAGAAACTTGTATGTATAAATATGCAGAGACAGGAAAATTTTCAACCTAAGTTGAATCCTTGTTGCATTTGTGGACGATCTGACCTCTTGTTCATCGTTGATGCAGGGATTAATCATTTCCACCAAACACCAGATAGGGAGTGGTTTGAGACTGATGCAGTTTTGCGAGTTAGTTTGGGGAACTTCTTGTTTTTCTCAATTCTCTCTCTTTTAATGGTTGGGGTGAAAACCCAGAAAGACCCACGTGATAGTCTGCACCATGGTGGATGGATGATGAAAGTCATCTGCTGGTGTCTTTTGGTAATCTTAATGTTTTTTCTCCCAAATGAGATCATCAGCTTTTATGGTAAGCCTATCTCTTAATAGGATCTAGAATACTGGTTTCTTGTTTGTTTTCCTTTTCTCCATTTCATTCACCCTCTTGGTAGTTCCCTGACAATAGTGTGTGTGTGTGTGTGTATATATATATATATATATATATATATATAGGGGAGGTTTATTTTACAAACCATGTAATTCTTATAAATTTTACAAATGGATCTCAACCAATACATGTAGATAATCAATGGTGTAGATTAATTCGGTTCCTAAATTACTTTCAACCACATTTTATAGTGGGGAGGAATAGTGCGTGAATGATGATTCTTAGACGAGGGAATCGTTCCTCTCTAAATAAAAAGAAGCAACCGCCTCTAAATTTCAAAATAAACAAAATCAATTGTTGAGATTAGGTTTGTAGAGTTTGTTAGAATTGTTGGGTTTGTAATTTATATCAACCCTATATATATGTCTCTGTGTGTGTGTGTGTGTATATTTCTCTGTTCCTACAACTTGCGGATCAGGAGATGTTTACTACTTAAAAAATATTGGTTCTTAAGAGATTTCGGCTCTGACCTAGCATATTTATTATGAGTGTACGTTTGGTATGTGGCACAGGTAATGACAGGACATGACAAAAACTAGTTGTCCCCGTTTGGCACGAGATTAGATTGGGATATGGGACTGGACATGACTGACCGAGTGGGATGAAAATGCATTTTTTTCTGTCCCACCAAAATAGGTAGAACATAAATCAAGGAGATGAGAGAATTTTAGTAAATTACTAAACTACCCATGTCAAATTAGAACCTTAAAACCTTCCACAATTATCTTTCACCCGCTTACCTCACTCTTGCCCGTCTAGTTCTGTACGCATGCCAAACACACTCTGAAGAAACAACTTCTGGTGGCGAATGATGTCATGCAAATTATATGAGCTAGTTTTGGAGCAACGAAGCATATCCCAGTAGGGAATAATCTGTGTTTTGCTTTCGATATGTATGATAATATTCATTTGAATAAGTCAAACTTACATCATATTCATTTGTGAATGCAGAGTCAACATCAAAATTTGGCTCGGGCTTATTTCTCCTTGTCCAAGTTGTACTCTTGTTGGACTTTGTTCATAGTTGGAATGACAAATGGGTTGGATATGATGAGCAGTTCTGGTTAGTTCAATTCATTTCCTGTCCCAAAATACATCTTTTCTAGCTATTAGCGCTCACACACAAAAAGACTGGAAAACGAATCGTGTTTTCCATTCGGATCTCTTTATATTTATACAGTTCATTCCATACCATGCAGGTATGCAGCCTTGCTTATTGTCTCACTCGTGTGTTATGTGGCAACATTCTTGTTTTCTGGACTTCTTTTCTACTTGTTTACCCCATCTGGACAGGACTGTGGGCTCAATATGTTCTTTATTCTGATGACCCTGATTCTTGTCTTCGTGTTTGCCATTATCACGCTACATCCTACAGTAAGTTTCTAAACCTCTTTTGGCCACTGTCTAAAATCATATTTTTTCCCTGTTATGTCTTTACATGGGTTTTGCATATATATATAATGGTAAACTAGCTGTGTATGCAATTCATCATTAAAAAAGAAAATCCAAACTTTATGTATTATTTTGCTGTATTAGTAGTGTTCGATGCTTATCCTGTATGTGAACATGTTTATCTGTTGTATTTTTGGAGTTCAAATGTGAAATTTTTAAGAAGTTATACATAGGCACTAATAAGTTGTAAGCATGAATTTTAAGAGTTTACCAAATGCTTTATGTAGTATATATTAGATAAATATGATGTTATTACAAAGTGTCTTGCTCCCCGAATTATCTAATTCTTTCTAAACATTTTGACAACTTGATCTTGATCTATTATATTGTTAAGTCCACATTTGACATGGCTGGGTATGGGAATTGTAGCTAGCATAGTTGGGCAGAAGGGAGTTGGACGGACGGGCAAGCTGAGGGCTGGCAGTCTAGGATAGAGATGTGTTTTTTGTTGCACCTTTTAGTATGTTTTCAATGTTACCCGCTCGTACTTTTTCTTCTAATTTCTCTCGTGTTGCGTTCACCATAAGTTAGAGCATCTCCAACAGATTCTCCAAAATGTCTCCAAAATGGAGAATCAAAATTCAAAATCTCGAAAGAAAATTTACATTCAACTCTAACAGCTTCCCCATTTTGGAGATTACGATGTTCATTATATTATTAAAATATTCCATACATTTAATAAAATATTCCATACATTTAATAAAATATTATTTCTCTCCTAAACATTCAATTTCAAGGTTTCTTATTGATGGGAATATAATAAAAAAATATGTCTCTCTCATGGCAATCATTTTTGGGGAGTTCTACAGATTTGGAGAATTTCACACTATCTCTCCTACTTTCTCCATAATTTGGAGAATCTGTTGAGCAAAAAAGTTGCTCATAAATCTCCATTTTCTCCATTTTGGAGAACCTCTTGGAGATGCTCTTGGGGGCTATTTGGTTGGTTTTCCATTAAGTTCTGTATGTATATGAAGTTGTATGTGCAGATTACTGTCTATATAGGAGGTCCCTTAGTGTTCATGCCTTCTCCTTTGGTGTAGAGCCGTAGAGCAGAGACGGACCTAGAAAAATTTTAAGTGGTGTGGTGGCATCATTTGACTATGAGAAACAAATATAGGGATATTTTTCACGAAATCATCATTGGTATGTTGCCTAGTTCATTGCTTTTCATATGCGAGGTCCTGTTGTCTTTTATTGCAATTTTCTTTCAGAAGCATAATGAATTTGAAATTAAAAGCTAAAAACTAAGAAAATGACACTAACGGGATTCAAACTCTGATCTGCGGTGGAAGAAAAGCCTTGCAAACCAACTCTATCAAGGGAAACTTGTGTCCTCATTGTAGTTTCGAAATATATACGGTGGCACTTTTCACGACCCTATAATTTTTTACACTATGACAGAGGAATGAAGCGGTGGCCCGGGCCACCACATGGGTCCGTCCCTGCCGTAAAGGTCAGGGTTGTGTACATCTCGCTCTCCTCAGACCCTGCTCTCGAGTGGGATCTACCGGGTCAATTTGGTTTATTTGACATAGCTATCATGTAACCTTAGATTTCATAATATGCCATCTTATGAGATGTGTTGATTTGCATTATTAGGTAAGTGGCAGCATTCTGCCGGCATCTGTTATTTCGTTCTACTGCATGTATCTTTGCTATAGTGGACTCGCAAGTGAACCAAGGGATTATACTTGCAATGGTCTTCACAAGCATTCTAAGGCGGTTAACACCAGCACACTTACCGTTGGGTTGTTAACGACCGTGCTTTCTGTGGTATACTCTGCTGTTCGTGCCGGATCTTCTACTACTCTGCTTTCTCCACCGAGTTCACCTCGTGCAGGTAAACTTTCCTGTCATTCCTCTATCTGCTTGCATTAGTTGCTTGATTGCATGCACTCTCACCTATAGCTTGTTTTCTTGTTCCTTTTGATTTGTGTTTTCCTAAGGGGCTGTTTGGTTGATTTTCCACTAAGTGCTGTATGGATAAAGATGTTTGTGTGCATTAATCTGTTTGTATAGATTGAAAAGGTTTTTGTTTGGGAGGTTTTCTTCATAGATGGAATGAGCATATTTTTTAATTGGGAGGGATAGGTTTGGGAAAAAACTTGGGTTTCTGCATAAAGCTCCTCCTAGAAGCTTACTAAATAAGCCACCTTCAATATCATTAAAAACTTGATTTTCCACTAATATGATTTTCCACTAAGTGCTGTATGCGTGCGCAGACAGACAACACAGACACAGGCACGCACGTACATGCACGCTTGCGCATGTGTGTGTGTAGGTACGTATGTATGTATGTAAACATTTGTTGTATGTATGTGTACGTACGTATGTATGTAAACATTTGTTATTAAACGACAAATATATTTGATTTTTAGTATTTTTAATTAATTTAGTGACTATTCATTATAATTTTAATTTTAAATTACATTGTTTTTATTGTTTTTTACTACACTGGTTCCTCGAAGCCATCGGGGATTAATCGTGGCGGAGTCAGGGACGGGGGATGCATTACCCGCCCAATACCTGCCCCCTTTCCATCCCTAGTCCCGTGAACCATCTTCACTGCAACCGAAACTAAATTTTGGTTTTCCGTGGTTCAGGTGGTGAGAAGCCTTTGCTTCCGTTGGACAAAAGAGACGAGCATGAAGAGAAAGAGAAGTCGAAGCCTGTTACGTACTCGTATTCCTTCTTCCACATCATCTTCTCCCTCGCTAGCATGTACTCCGCAATGCTTCTCACGGGGTGGTCGACCTCGGTCGGGGAGAGCGGTCGGTTGGTGGATGTCGGTTGGCCGTCGGTGTGGGTCCGTATCATAACCTCATGGGCAACTGCTGGTTTGTTCATATGGTCAATGGTTGCACCCCACCTCTTTCCTGATAGGGAGTTCTGAGCCAATTTGAAGTAATTCCAACAAATGTGAATTTGATTGATATAGTGTTTAATATAATTGACGTGGAGGATGGATTATACTTTCGATTTTCGAAGTTTATTTTGTGGTGTGATTTTAAGTTTAATATGTGAATAAATCTTGAAAACCATGTGAAATTGTTTTGTGTTTTGTATTGGTGATATATCAAAGGGTCAAATTTAGGGATTTTTGAGTGCGAAATTGGTCAAAATAACCGTTTTTTAACCGACTTCATTTTTTTAGCCACTTTCAGAATCGAATTTTCATTTTAGCCGGAGTTTATGCAAATACAAGTGTATTTGCCTATATTTTATTTTAAAAAAGGGGGAAAAAATTTATGCGTTTTTTTTATATGAAAACTAAGTTCATGTAATATGCGAGACATTTGCATAGATTTCGACTAAAATGAAAAATTAATTAAAAAAGTGGTTAAAAATGAATTTGGTTGGTGCGATTGGGTATTTTGGTCTATTTTTTATTTCAAAGGGATCTTGGAGAATTTCTAACAGCCTCTCAGAAAATTTTGGAATTTTATTGAAGGGTCTTTGATCAAACGGTATGAGGGTTTGGTTTCTTGAGAGGTCAGCATTTAAATCTTGCTAAACATTAGGAGGTGGTTGAGTTAACGGTGAAGGATTGAAGGATTGTTTGAGAAATCGAGTTAAGGTAAGAAGCGTAAGAATGAATTTGAATCTTTGATCATTTTTAATCTCAAATCCACATATGAATCGCTTTTAATATAGAGATCGATTTGGTGCATCTCAGTGCATCTCAAATCTTAATGTACATCTAATGGTGGAGATTCCTTATTACGTTTTTTTACCTTAACTCTACTTCTCATCGGAACCCAACCCTTAAGTTAATTTGCTATATAGATATAGATATAGATATAGATATAGATATAGATATATATATATATATAGAGAGAGAGAGAGAGAGATGAGCGTTCAAATAAAAACCATTCAATTTGTATAAACCGTGAAAACCTTATTCAACCAATCATAATTTTTCATTTTGTTCATTTTTTTTGTAATTATGAGAGGTTGATTAACCATTTTTATTGTGGAGGGTGTTAATCATGGATATTATCATTTTTATTATTTTAATTTTAGAGAAATACATGAAACAGTTTCATTAAAATTTCATCAAATATTATATGAAACAATTTCATAACCATATATGAAACAAATTTATTAAAAAAAGTATTATATGAAACAATTTCACAAGATTAAACAATTTCATGAAATTTTTTCATAAGATTAAACAATGAAATCGATGTATGAGGGTGGTTTATACGGTTTGTACAAATGAGAGTGATTTTCATTTGATCGCTCCTCTGTGTGTGTATATATATATATATATATATATATATATATATATATATACTTTAAAGAGTTTGAAGTTTTATTTACTTTTTGCTTCAACAATAGAATTGCAAATGGCCACTTCAGCAAAGCATTGGATGACACTTGCAACATTTGTAATTGTTGTTGCAATGCTTAGTAGATCCCAACAAGTTCTTTATCATATAAAAAAATATTAATTAATTAGATGTTTTTTAAAATATATAATATTTATATATAATATATAACAAACAGAACAAATTAATATTTATACACCCTCCTCGTATTTGGTGATATTTGAACCCCTGACTTTCTAAGAGGTTAAAGACGCACGTACCGTTAGACTAAAAACTCTTTGATAATTAATTAGAATGTTGCAACGTGGATCATTTTCAAAAGTGTAAATGAATTAAAGATGTATAAATAATAATCGTAAAGATTGATGTGATACAATTAAAAACATAAATGAATTATAATTATAATTATAATTATAATAAATGGTCTTAAAAAAAGGAGACAAAGGGAACTTTGTAATGTTGTCATATATGCACACATAAAGGTTTGTGGTCATGTGGCTGTTTCAACTTATAGCTACATAGATTCCTAATGTGACACCACCAAATTACTTTGGGTAAACCTTTAATTCAATCATCAATCAATGTCAAAAGTGTTTGAAGGTTTCAGTTCTAAATTTAAGAAGGAATAAAAAATTTCTTATGGTTACGAAGGTTTAAATACGTTGACTCCGAGCTACCTACAAAGCAGGTGGTCACCTGAGATTAATCGATTTGCATAGCGTGTTGAATATCCAGGTTAATAAAAAAACATTCGATTTCGTTACAAAAATAAATGCTTATAATAAAAAATACATACACTCATTAATAAAATTGAACATGAAAGAAACTGTTTGATTTTATATAATATAATGAGTCAATTATCCTACAAATCCATATTTTAATTCCATGCTAAAATTGGGG